ACGGTTTTACTTTTAATTAAAATCGTTCATGGCTGAAAAAGCTACCAAAAAAATAAGTAGGTGCTCTACTTAAAATTGTCAGGTCTCGATTAGACAGGAAATGGAGTTTTTGCATTCAAAGCGACATTCACCACATTCGATTATTTATAGACGCCGAAAATCGTTATTTATAAACCCATGTAGATGAGAAATGCATTAACGCGCGCTGCGAAAAAAAAATGCGCTCTTTGTGCACGACCCTCTCCCAGACCGTTCATTAATCTGTCAGAATGTGACTTACTCCCTCCGAACTGGCATAAATTACACCACATCCGCCCCTGTATGTATGAAATTATTATACGGAGAAGTAGAAATATAGGCCAAGCAATCTAATTTAGAATTAATGCCCTTGGCAAATTAGTATGTATGAAATTATTATACGGAGAAGTAGAAATATAGGCCAAGCAATCTAATTTAGAATTAATGCCCTTGGCAAATTAGTAGATATACATTGTACAGTTTCATCTACATTAATGTTTATAGTAGTTATAAATATAATATGAAATAATAAACAAACCTCCCAGCTCTACGATTTTCATCACTAAAAATAGAGTAGTGAACGCGCTCTCATTGCACGATTGTAACGTAGATGGCTGAAGAATCAGCAGCAAAAAACGATAACAGTGAGGTGTTTAGTAAACAGGTAATTGATCATCTTCGACAGTTTGTAAACGATCCAGGCTTGAGTGACGCTTTGCACTTCTTTACCACTGGAGAAGTGGGCGATCGCGAAGAGTGCATTTTGAAGATCGCGAGTGCGCTCGTCGGAAATGCACCTCAATTTATTCAATTTCCAACAGGAGGCGATTTAATCGACGCCCAAGAGAAATTTTATAGACTTAGCCAAAGTGTGAACGAAGACTTTGGATTTCCAAATTTGATCGGCGTCATCGACTGCGAGCGTGTCAAGTTTGTAGAAAAAGAAGAAGAGGGTAGCATCAAGGTCCAATTCGTCTGCGGCCCCGATCTCCAATTTTACAATGTGCTCGCTGCCTTTACCGGGCAATGCGGGAACGTGCAAATTTGGCATAACAGCAAGCTACGTGCTCAGCTGGAACATCAAGAATCCCCAGACAAATGTTGGCTAATTGGTATGTAGTCCAAACATCTGTGGGTGATCACTTCGTTTGCTTGTAGGAAACTCGGACTATTTCCAGGACCCGGTGATAATGTGCCCCATTCCGGAAGCGAAAAGTGAGCCGGAGAAGCTATACAACAGTAGTCATGGCATCGTTCATAAGTGCATAAAGAGAGCTCTGTATTTGTTAAAAAAACGATTTAAATGTTTAGACACAGTGTTACATTTTAATGCACAAGAAGTGTGTGCAATAACTATTGCTTGTTGTGTGTTGCACAACATATGCATGCGCCATGATGATTTTAATATTGATTACCAGTACTTACTCTTAATTGCCGATTTGGATAAAAATGGGCATATTGAGGAAGTGCATGCTAAAGAGAATTGTTCTGAACATGTAGTTTCTAAATAAGTAGGTACGCCACTTCAATGTGCAAAGATTTTTTATGCTGGGTATGTTTTCCAGTTCGTAATGCTGTAAATACTTTTCCCATGGCAAAATCTGATTTTAATAAATGTATTTTATTAAGCGGAAAAAAATCTACGATTTTTGTTCTTTGCATATTTCTGTATCGACCCGGAAAATTTTCTTATAGAATGTGGCCTGTAGAATCCATAATTTCAAACAGTTCCAAGATTGGGCTACTAGTTCAAAAGTTAAAGCCCTTTGAATTTTCTTTCGAAATTGGTTTCTAGTCTATAACTTTTGATTGAGAAGTCTGATCGAAAAAGTACGAATTGTTTTGGATTCTACGCACCAAAGTTAATAAGAAAAAGGTCTTTCCCGAGAAATTTTGGTGTAGTCGAATACTACTATAAATATCCAATTAACAAATGCAAAAATAATTTCTTGCAATCCCTTGCTTCACATAGAAAACCACCCCTAAAGCGTTTATAAAATTAATACGGCAAAACGCAGGTAGTTATCACTTTCTAGTTTGTGCAGAAAAATACTGCTATACATATCCAATAAAAAAAATAATCTCTTGCAACCCCTTGCGTCACATAGAAATCAACCCCCAATGTGTTTATAAATCGAATACCGCAAAACGCGGGTAGTTATCACTTTCTAGTTTGTGCAGAAAAATACTGCTGTGCATATCCAATAAACAAATGCAAATATAATCTCTTGCAACCCCTTGCGTCACATAGAAATCCACCCCCAATGTGTTTATAAATCGAATACGGCAAAACGCGGGTAGTTATCACTTTCTAGTTTGTGCAGAAAAATACTGCTGTACATATCCAATAAACAATTGCAAAAATAATTTCTTGCAACCCCTTGCGCCACGTAGAAATCCACCCCCAATGTGGTTATAAATCGAATAAGGCAAAACTCGGGTAGTTATCACCTTTTAGTTTGTGCAGAAAAATACTGCTGTATCCAATAAACAATTGCAAAAATAATTTCTTATAACCCCTTGCGTCACATAGAAATCCACCCCCAATGTGTTTATAAATCGAATACGGCAAAACGCGGGTAGTTATCACTTTCTAGTTTGTGCAGAAAAATACTGCTGTACATATCCAATAAAAGATCCAAATATAATTTCTTGCAGCCCCTTGTCATGTGTCACATAGAAATCTACCCCCAAAGTGTTTATAAAATTAAGCATCAAAATAGGTAAGTAGGTATAACAAATTATTCAATGCTGGAAGGTGAAATCAATATCAATATCGTTAGTTTTTATCATTTGCGAGATACTTTAAATTTATCACTGAGTATTACTTAATAGTTTACCTTGGTCCACGTCTCAAAATAATCGTAACTTCATATTTTCTTGTCCACAAATTCTGTTTTCACTCTGTACAAAATGCGAATCAATCCTGTAGGCTTCAATCGAGCCACAGCACGGACATTAGAACAACTTTGGATTAGTTGAACTATTATCACATCAATTAGAACTAATAACCTCACTTTTTCTTTTTATAACTCATACAATTTCTTCAAAAATATAAGTGTATCACCATGACTTATTCATTAGAATTAGGTGACAATTCAACAATAAAAATGAAACTTTACCGTAACGTAAAAAACGTGGCGGAATTACGGCAGAAAATTCTCAATAGAACTCTCGATTGTTGCATTACGAAACCGAGTTTAATTGTAGACCCATTTCAAGTCGTCGTGGCGGCAAATAAAGCGGTGGTCGCCGAAAAATTAACCACCAAAAGTATCTACAGCGAAATCCTCTTCAATTTATCCATATCGAAGAACATCACGCAAAGCTTACAGAAGTTTGGTATAGACGACAAGGAACGCGAGATTCTGGTCGTTGTTGTTGAGAGGCCCAACGATGGGAATGATTGTGAAGTCGTGTTCCGGCAGATAGACGGTGAAGAAATTGATGTATCTCGATTAGAGGAGTTGGCGAATTTGCAGGAAATTAAGAAAGTTTACAAACTGAGCGATCTTGAATTTGAGCATTTGCCAATGTTAAATTCAGTTGTTAGTAGAATAGCGGGTAAAGAATTTTTGTGAGACTTTTAAATACCAAAACTTAAATGTGCTTTTTTACATTCGATAGATGTAGGAAATATAGAAAATGTCTTCATGCTGCCTATAACTTTTTTGTTGAATTTTTGGGGGCAAAACACATTGCGTTTCACAAATCAGAAGATGACTGTATTAGCAAAACATGTACATGTATTTAGGAAAACTAATTTACAAGTCGATTTCCTACAAATAAATAAAGAGTAATCCAGTAATAGTGAATGTAATAAGATAAATTAAGGTACAGATACAGATTGAAGCAGGGGAATCTGTCGATTTCAGACAACTCTGTTTTAAATTTCTCTTTCTTCCTTATAAAATTCTCTGTTTCTGTAATATAGCAGTGGAGCATAGTAGTAGACGACCTACCGAAAGAGAGGCCGTTAGCAGGAAACTGATGTTATCTAAAGGAACCAACCCCAACTTGTTTCAGTTGATGCTGTATCAGTAAGTGGGTTTATTGACTGGACTAATATGGAACGCTGGGGCTTGTGAGTACTGGCTGGTGAATACACTAATTGGCACCAGTGGCGAGTGGGTGCTACTGTCGAATCACCTTGTATAGTAGATATCTTAGGAACTTTTTCGCCAAGGGGGTCACTAGAGAAAGAAACTATTGGCAACACTACAAAAATAGAAAATGGTTATACATGTGAATTGTGAAGTTTGTTTCCTTGTATTGTAAATACAACAAACAAAACTTACATAATATGGATTTTTTTCATTTATACGTTTAATTCTTAACGTGAAGCATGACCGACCATGTAGAATTTATCTCTAGAAAAACTGACGAGGAGAAAATCACAGATCGAGACCTACCACTTAGTTTTGTCGAAAATCGACACACAGAAGTGATCGAAGGAATTAATTGCTTAACGCAGACATGGAGAATGAAAGAGAGGGTATTTGTACGGAGCGGGCAATCCGGCCTAGTTTACGTAATTAACGTTACAGATGAAAACGGTCAGCGTCGCGTTGGTGCTTTGCTTAAATGTCGGCGTGGACCCTCCGGATATTGTCAAGACGCAGCCCTGCGCGCGACTGGAATGCTGGATAGGTACGGTATTGGCGGACTTGCGTTAATTAATTGTAAACCGTTAGATCCGCTGTCGATGTCGCCCGCAAAAGCGTTAGAGGCTATTGGAAACAATTTGCAGAAGCAGTACGAACGCTGGCAGCCTCGGGCTAGGTATAAGCAAACTTTAGATCCGACCACGGACGAGGTGAAGAAGTTATGTACGTCACTGCGACGTAATGCGAAGGAAGAACGCGTGCTCTTCCATTACAATGGGCATGGTGTACCGAAACCGACTAGTAACGGCGAAGTGTGGGTTTTCAATCGAGTATGTACCAGAGACATACATTTTTTTCTACTTGGATTTTAATGTTTGAATTCTAATTAGTTTAGTCTTTAGTGTCAATTTAGATTCTAAAAAACGCGTGTTACATTCTTTTCAGAGCCTTTTGGCTCTCTAACAGAGCTTTCTAGATTGCCATTAACATAAATTGCAGGGATATAAGGAGTTTAAGATCCGAATCTGTGAATTCATACTTTAAAGTCAGAGTCTAGCATAAGATCTCTGCCTTTATAATCTTAACCTATAAGTAACTCCTCAGACGTACACCCAGTACATTCCATTGTCAGTGTACGACTTGCAATCATGGATGGGAGCCCCTTCGATATACGTTTACGACTGTTCGAACGCAGGTATAATTGTGGATTCGTTTAAGACATTCGCGGAGCAACACGAAAACGAATACAAGGTATGAATTAACAAATGCGAGGGAGGAGGTTTCGCTAACTTTGTACACTGCAGGCGTCGACGCAGAGCAGGCCGGGCTCGGGACAGGCTCCTCCCACGTACCGTAACTGCATACAGCTGGCGGCGTGTAGCGCGACACAAGTATTGCCGATGAATCCCGACTTGCCGGCCGATTTATTTACATCTTGCCTTACGACGCCGATTAAAGTGGCGGTCCGATGGTTTGTCTTGCGATACACTGCTAAATTAGTGCCTCAAATTACTTTAGATATGATTGATAAGTGAGTTTTTTTAATCTTTACGTGGGGTCTTCCTCTATTGATGCATTTTTAATAGAATTCCGGGACAGCTAACTGATAGGAGGACTATGTTGGGTGAACTTAATTGGATTTTTACGGCAATTACTGACACTATTGCCTGGAATACCCTGCCAAGAGGTAGGTATTCGGAGACATGTATTCGTAGTGATTGTATTGTCTGTCATTATTTATTTATTTACAATTATTAATGAATTTATAACAGTTTAGTAGACAAATTTATCACACATGGGCGCGAACTTCACTAATAATCACTTTGGCATCGATGTTGGAACTGCCATCAACACAATTTAATTGGTTATACGGGGTGGCCTATTAGTGCGTGGGTGGAAGATTGTGGGTTTATTAACGCACATATTGAAAATTCATTGTCGGAGCGAAATAATAAATACTTTTATTGAGTTAATTAAATTACGAGATAGAAGTCGAAATTACGACATGTAAGTCGGAAATCATAAATAAAAAGAAATGAAAAAGAGGTGACTCTTCTACGCTTCCGTAGGAAATTGTAGCTTTTCGGAATTTCTGGATAGTGGATTGATTTCAGATGCGTTAGTAGATGATTCCTCAGGGTCGCTATGTTATAGGAAAAGGATCGCTTGTAAATCATAGGACAGTGTATTGGAACAGAAATTAAGCAATTAATGCAATTGTTATACATGGAGATTTATATTGAATTTTTTAAATAGAGCCCCCTGTATATTATTACCTAATTCGATTCGACCCATGATATCTAAAATGAATCCTTTAATCATTTTTTCAAAAAAACAGATTGTCAGTAAAAATTCAATATCACAGTTTTTGTCATAAAACAAAGAGAAGGCTGTGACTCTGCATTGTTATCACAAAATGTACTAACCTACGCCGAAAGGTCAAAGTTAAACTATTCTTAATCAATTTTCAATATGTCATTCAAAGGTAACTTGATTTTTTTAAAGGGTACCAAAGATCATACTATACTAGATAGCCAACATACACGGTGTCCATTTTTCGAGTGCCACTATGGGGATCTCACTTATCTTAAGAGATAGAAAGTTGGTTAAATGGGGGCAAAGTTGCCAATTTTCTTACTGAATAAGAATCTGAAAAGACATTTCAAATATCTTCAATAGTTTTGAAGATATCTCACTAAAACAAAAATTTCTGATTTTCGTTTTTATTTTTTTTATGATAAACTAATCGTAGTAGACATTTCTAATTAACACATTATTGGGACACTTTGTAATGGAGATTTCAAATATGGCATCCTGTTTTTAATAACTCTCCAGACGATGGAGAAACACGTGGTAACTTTAGTTTTTCTTATGGGCGCCATTTTGAATTTTCACATTTTGAGATTACGTCTTTTTTTCTCTTTACAACGATATATCGCACATGGTGGTTCAGTATCACATTTTTCCTAAAAATACAATTTTTAATTTTTTGAGAAGAGTGCTTTGGAAAAACAAAACGTTCTTTTGTTGACAACAAAAGTTTGACAGTTTGATCCATCTGTCTGGTTGCAGCGTTGTCAGATAAAAATAAAAAAAATAAAAAATTGTAAAGCTTCTGACAATCATCAATTTAATTTAGACGTCAAAAATAGCAAGCTTAGGTTCTGCCGTTGCGATCCTTTACATAGAAACAGCAATGTTCCAAACGTCATTTTGTATCGTACTTCGCGTGACATTTGAAATAAAAATGACAGATGTCATTAGAATGCACAGTCATCTGTTTCAGAGCTTTTCCAAAAACTATTCCGACAAGATTTACTAGTAGCGAGCTTATTTCGTAACTTCCTTCTCGCCGAACGTATTTTAAGATCGTTCGACTGCACGCCGATTAGCTTTCCCGCCCTGCCCGACACCTCCCAACATCCCATGTGGCTGGCGTGGGATTTCGCCTTAGATCTAAGTCTCAGCCAACTGCCGAGGATGATACTTCACGACGAACCCTATCAGCATTTGGCGTTCTTCGAAGAGCAACTTACCGCCTTTCAGGTTTGGCTGGAATTAGGTGAGTTACAGTTGTTGAAATATTGTTCGCGAACGGTTTGGGCGTAGGTTCCGAAGATCGCTACCCGCCCGAACAGTTGCCCATAGTTCTACAGGTATTACTAAGCCAAGTGCACAGAATGCGAGCGCTCGAGCTGCTTGGGAAGTTTCTAGATTTGGGTCCTTGGGCGGTTAACTTGGCGTTATCGGTGGGAATATTTCCTTACGTTTTAAAATTGTTGCAAAGCTGCGCCAAGGAGTTGAGGCCTTTGTTGGTGTTCATTTGGGCTAAAATATTAGCCGTCGATAATGTAATTTATTAACCAGTTGTGAAGTGAAATATTTTGATGGTGATCTTGCAGACTTGCCAGGCCGACCTAGTTAGAGATAAAGGCCATAACTACTTTCTTTCCGTTTTACAGGATCCGACTGTTCCGGTAAGTGAACCAATTGTTTTTAACCGGTTGCGTTAATTTACTTAATTCAAGTCGGAGTATCGCACTCAGGCCGCGTTTGTCTTGGCGTCTATCGTGCATAACTTCCGCGATGGCCAGGAGGCGGCCCGACAAGGATCTTTAGTTAGTATTTGTTTGGAACAGTTGTCTGATCCGAGTCCGACTTTACGTCAGTGGGTCGCCATTTGTCTTGCGCGCTTATGGGATCATTACGACAAGGCCCGTTGGACTGGAGTGCGCGATATCGCGCATGAGAAGTTGTACATCTTATTGCAGGATCCTTGTCCCGAGGTTAGTACATTAATTGTTTCAGTTGTGGTTAATCTAGTGTTCAAGGTGAGAGCTGCCGCTGTGTATGCGCTCGGTACCTTCATCAACTCGGTTAACGAGAGATCAGAGCACGCGAATAATATAGACCATTCGATCGTCATGATGCTAGTCAATACTGTAAGTCGTGACATGAGCAGTTTAGTACGTAAGGAACTAGTAGCAGCTTTGCAATGGATAGTGATCGCTTTCGAAAACGCTTTCCTCAATGTAGCCACGCAAGAGACAAATTTGTGCAATAGTCAAGAGAGTACGCCGACGAGTACCCTTAAACGAATCGGAAGCAGGTAACTATACTTAAAAAATTATTCAACAGTGAACGGCCAAACACACGACTACATATTCAATTTAATTTTAACTTCAGGTTTCTAATGCAATACCTTTTTAATATCTGCAGCTTACCCAGGCTGTTATATTTGCCAGTGTATGTACTTCAATATTCTCCTATTTTTACGCTCGAAAAATTTGTACACGGTCAAACATTTTCGCAAATGGCCAAAAAGCTGACACTATTTTTAGATTTCCCTACCAATTTAAAAATCACAATGGGCTAGAACCGAATAGCCAGATTACTCTAATACCGTTTTATTTTTTTATTTTATTTTTTTTATATTTATTTTTATTTTATTTATTTTTTTTTATTTTTATTTAAAATAAATAAATAAAATAAAAAAAAATAATACCTGAATATTCAAATATGTGAATTTACCCAAATAAACTATGCGAATAATCGTATTCCTTGAAATAACTCGGTGACCGCTTTGCACAAATTAATTAGCGGTGTCTACGGGAAAGCAAATGCAGGAAAGCGAAACAATACCCTCCCCTTGGAACAGGAAGTCGCAAAAAGCTTACCTTGCAATTAAACGGAGCGGTAGAAATTACAGTGAAGCAAAAAGCACACGGCTGTAGATACGGTGCGGTAAACTGTGTGTAAAAGCAGTATCAATGCAAAATAAATTTACGGAAAAGCTCAAAATTATGGTACTTACGAAATGTAACTTCCGAGGATGCAAAACGCAAAAGATCCCCTCAAAATTAAGCGTTTACCTTGATTTACCCTTCCCTAAATACGGAGGGGAAACGTAGGAAATTCCAAACTAAGCAGCGTATTCGGTTAATAATGTCCAAAAATTAAAACTTCCTTATTTGTGCGGTTTGCGACATCCTAAAAATCGATAATGTGCCTTGACATTTAAATTAATTAAGGGCGCCTCTTTGAGACCCCTCACACTTACTCGGATGTTGTGTACTGCATCTCATTTAATTGAAATTGTAAGACTCGGTAATCTAATTGGCACCCAGTAAAATGCTGAGATCAACCGACCGAGACCGCACTGCCTCGACCGGTTTTAAGCGTGTTTTTCAATTAACATAGAAAACTAAAACCGGCTTATAATGACTTAACGGATCTGAAATTCCAAAATATTAATTCGCCCTCGTCTTCTAAATGACATTGGCTTTCAGATATAACAAAAAATTGAAATATCTTGACGAGAACGGTTGCAAAAGGTGGATTAATTACAGCTTTTGTCCACAGTAGCCGCTGATGAAACACAATTCTAAAAATGATATCATATACCTTCAATTCCTAGAACCCACGTCTCCTGATACCGGCTGTTCATATACAGGGTGTTTTTTTGGGAGCTTTAGTTAAACGTTTCTGGGAAAGTAAAATAGGTAGGTTTTTGAAAATTTGTATTTGGGAGTTACGCTGAAGGCCGAATCGATTCAAAATAGCCGCACTTCCGGAAACACCGGAAGTAGATAGTAACTTCGTTATTTTAAATAGCAACCCCAATTTTTTATTGGGTTTTTGGATTCTACGTGAAATTTCAGTTCTTTGGATACCCATATATCGATATCTGCTATTTGTGGTTTTTAAGTTGTTTTGACTTTAAGAAAAAATATGGCGGATGCAGATGGTACCTTGATAATTATTACTTGAAAACGGTTGTAGTCATGGCAACCTATTTTTATCAGTGCATATAGAATGAATACAGCTTTCTTTTAGTGTACTTAAAAAAAGTTAAGTTGCGTAAGACCGCCCCTATGGAGATCCAAATTTATGAAACTTCAAAGACTAAAAACTCAGTTTTTTTAAATGGAATCACCATTTTCTTAATATTGCATGAGATAAAGAATCGAAATGGGCATATTTTGACAATACATGTTCCTATAGCTATCTTTAACAGTTTCTGACTTATTCCCACTTTATTGAATTGACACTATTCTTTCGAATTTTCTTTTTAGTAGTCGGCCATGATTTTATAACAATTGAATTTTAAACAATTCTAGTGACACTAATGCATGATTAACAAAATAAATTCAATGTAAAATATAAAAAACTTCGTTGAAACATTTTTTGTATGGAATTGTTGCTAGAACAGATATCGCATTACCTCTCTGAATTTTTAGACTTATACGTTGTTTAAGAAATTCATTTGAACGACTCTGTCTAGATTTCTCAAAAATTTTCCGTCCTATATCCTTAATAAATGACTTATTTATTAATGAATTATTTAGACTAGAATCAATTATATTAAAGAATCCTTTTCTTGATTTGTTTAAAATTCGATTGTTATAAAATCATGGCCAACTACTAAAATGAAAATAAAAAAAATAACATCAATTCAATGAAATGGGAATAAATCAGAAAATGTTAAAGATAGCTATAGGAACATGTAATATCAAAATATTCCAATTTCGATTCTCTATCTCATGCAATAGGAAGAACATGGTCATTCCATAAAAAAAAACTGAGTTTTTGGACTTTGAAATTTCTTAAATTTGGATCTCCATAGGTGCGGTTGTACGCAACTTAATTTTTTTTAAGTACACTAAGAGAAAGCTCTATTCATTCTATATGCACTGATAAAAATGGGTCATGACTATAACCGTTTTCAAGTAATCAATTATCAAGGTACCATCTGCATCCGCCATTTTTTTTCATAAAGTTAAAATAACTTAAAAACCATAAATGGCAGATATGGACATGTGGGTATCAAAAGAACTGAAATTTTACGTAGAATCCAAAAAAGCAATAAAAAATAGGGGTTGCCATTTAATATAACGAAGTTACTATCTACTTCCGGTGTTTCCGGAAGTGTGGCCATTTTGAAAATATTTTACATCGATTCGGTCTTCAGAGTAACTCCTAAGTACAAATTTTCAAAAACCTACCTATTTTACTTTCCCAGAAACGTTTAACTAAAGCTCCCAAAAAAACACCCTGTACAGAGTGGTCATCAAAACTGGTGTTTGTTTTGTTACATTGACCGCAGTTGAACCGAAGCATCAAAATTTTGATTTTCAGATTGAAAACGGAGTTAAAAGGTCAAACTTCCATAAGGTAAGGGGTGTGTAGAATTTTTTATTACAGGGCTAGCTGTGGGTAAAATAAAGTTGATTGTTTTAAGTGTCGTAGAGGTTGATTTTTATTTAATGACAATTCAACTCATGTATAAAAAATCACATAAGCCGCAGTGTAATTGTCACTTTGACAGCGGCAAAAGTTACCTGCAACTTTTCCAGCGACAAATGCACTAGTGGTTTTTTCACTATTCATTTTCGAACCAATTATCGCATTATCCTTTCCCATATGACTAGTTTGACGTCTGTCAATAATTGATTAGTTGGTGAATTTCTTGTTCGTTAAATTGTCCTGCCGAATTACACTCGAGGTTTGTATTTAAACCGAATAAATTTGGGTTGTGGCAATTCAAATCTGTTTCCTTTTAGCAATTGGACTCGAAAAACTGTCAACCTAAAAATGCTCCACCTGCGGTGTCGCATTTTTATTAGTTGACAGTTTTTCTCGTCTAATTGCTAGGCAACAGATTTTCATTACCTAAACAACCCAAATTTACTCGGTAAAATACAAACCTCTTGTGCAATTATAAGTGAAAATAAGGGTTTTTTTGTTAATGTAACTAAGTCCTAACGAATTATTCAAATATGAAAAAAAAATGTTTCCAGCTCTTATACAATAAGCAAATACAATAGTGAGTACATTTTTATTTTTTTGCGAGGAGGGGTTAAGGTGGAGTTCCAATCATCATGCGACTGTAGCGACTCTGGCACCTTTGCGTACTACGTCTCAATTACGCGATTTCTACGTTCTTTGTTTTAATCGGGTTTATTTGTTCTGTATACATTTTCTTTGTACCCATAAAAAGCGCCTTTCAAACGCCACAGCGTTGAATAACTCAGCTTTGCTATATTATTATTAAATCCTGAAGCGAACGTTCCGTGGAGAAACAATTAAGTGCGAGAAATCTAAATGTAGTGTCAACATTTTGGTTATTCTAGACCTCAATTGGATATCGCTTCTTGCACAAAACGTAAATCTCAATCGGGTGATTAAAAATGATTGTTTTTAAGGTCGTTCATGTCGCCACTTTCGCACAACATCAATATTGACTCTGGCGATTCGCTCGATCGACTAAAAAGGGTCGCGTCCAGTTCCTCGATCAGTAGTTTGGGCGTTGGACATTCTTCTTTGGCGCATCACGCGAGCTTGGGCGCCTTACCCTACGTCGCATATGGTTCGGTTTATCTCAAGATATGGGTCGGACTTTGTAGTCTGGAAACCGATCCGCACCCTCAAGTGTCGCAGATGTGCACAGTCGTTACAACGTACATTAGGAATCAAGTGAAGGTACTCGAATGTCGCATCTCACACATTTCTAGGGTGCGTTTTAGGCCGCCAAAGAGCAGGCCGACAATCGCCTGGCCGCCAGCATGAGTTTACCGCCTAGTCCAAATCGTGGTAGCAATTATTTGACTGGGGAGAGCCCGCCGACGCTTCATCCGAACACTGACCTACACAGATTTGCCGCCAGATCGGCTATGAATAGTCGCGCGCGCGGTAAGAAGCAGTCAGGTTCGACAACAAGCGATGAAATCGACAAGGACAACGGGTTGAGAAAACCTCTAGTTACCACTGAGTTTGTCCCATGGGCGAGTAAGCTCTTTGCTCAGCCCCTAATGCACGATACACATTCGGATGTCGAATCTCAACACTATTATGAAAGGGAGTGGCGATTTGAAAGGTAAGCCCTCTTTTCTCTTAGTAATAATCTCAAAATATAGCATATTAACTTTTAAAAAATACAATACACTAAGGATGATATTCAAAAATGGCTCAAAAAAGGGTCAAAGGTCAAATGATTTTAAAAAAATTGTTGAATTTTTCCGTTTTTGAAATCTTTTGAATCTATTGGAATTAATATGGAATCTTTGTAGTGTTATATTTTGGAAAAGAGATTTTTCATATGATAGTTTTTGATTAATAATAATAATACTCTTTATTATTACCTCAATTGCAAGTTTTGGTGAAGAAAGAAATTACAGTTTAGGTATCAAACAATTAAGGTAGTAAGTGGCGGAGTTCAGCATAGCTTTTTTCTAAATGATCATACTAACGAACTTTGTTTGAGCTATTAAAATATGTATTACAATTTAAAATGTACGTAGGAAAATCAAAAAATTGTCAATCTCTGAATGAACCTATATTTAATAAAGGAGATATAAAAAGATGTTTCTTACAAGTTTCATTATAATGACTGTTGAATAATCTGCCAATTTAAAATAAGTGTACGGGATCAGGTAAAAAAGTTATAGGACCTAACCTCATTTTTTGTAGTGGAACGCTCTATATATTTTATTGGAAAAAGTGATATTAAATTCGCTTTCCCAAAATACAGGGAGATTCCTATAGTACCTGCCACCGTTTGGGAGCGTGTAGGTGGTGCGTAGGGGAGTATTTTGATATAGGACACTTGGGGTCGGAAATCTAAAATAAGGGTGCCAGAGCCAAATTTACCTTCTGGAATTTCGCGCCTGTAGGTAGGCAACCCAACCGGCCGGCGGTGCACACGGAGCGATCTCAGGCGGCGATGTGTGGCTGACACTTGATCAGAATTTTGTTTAAACCCACGAAATCCCGTCTGCAACGACGCGTATCAAGTGAATAAACACTATGGCAATAGTATAATAATAGTTGGCTAGATGTAGGAAGTGCATTGAGAACAACGGTGGCCACGTTGAACACTTGTAAACGTTATTGCTTTTGACTGTCGTTTTCCCTCCTTCCCTCCCATGTCGCTTCCTCGCGCTAACTCGCTCTGCATCGCTCCGCGCGAAACGTCGGTCGGTTGGGTTGCCTACATACAGGCGTGAAATTCCAGAAGATAAATTTGGTACTGGCGCCCTTATTTTGGATTTCCGACCCAAGTGTCCTATATGAAAAGACTTCCCCTAGGCACCCCCTATACGCTCCCAAACGGTGGCAGGTACTATAGGAATCACCCTGTATAACACTAAAGAAATTTAAAAAATGCAATATTAGATTTTTCAAAGAATTTTTGAATGTTTTTAATTTTTTGTTTTTTTTAGATTTGAACCTTTCTTAAATTTTTTAATTCTTTTAATCATTTTGAATTTTTTTTAATCGCTTGTATTTTCCCTATTGATTAGCGATTGCGTTATATTTTAATATGCTATTTTTTAGATTAAAATATACAGGGTGTTCTATTTAAAAAATGAGGTTAAGTCCAGTAACTTTGTTGCAGACGTCGTATATGTACTTATTTTGAAAACAGCAGATTACTCTGCAAGTAATTTTGTAATAAACATTTTTTCATGCAGTATAGTATGTACCATAATTTAACACTTATGCGGGTCCGTTAACTTGGCCCCCCCCACTGAGAGATTTGATAGTCGTATTATTTTAAAATGAATGCGCTCATATGCGCCACCGATAATAACTCTTGCGCCATTATCGTTTTTTAGAAATCCGAAAAACGTTTGGGGGGGGCCAAGTGAACGTAGCCCCCCCAGTACGTATTTTGTCGCTTGTAACTAGGTCACCTGATACATTTGGTTATGCGCTCAATTGCGCCACTTGAATTAAAGCTAGCGCCATTACGGTTAAGCCATAAAAAAATTTTAAAAAGTGGGAGGGGGGGCTAATTTAACGTTTTCAAAAGTTACGTTTTTTAACATGTTTTTTCTACTATATCGTACCTTTCACCATGCACTAAAATGCTTTTTACGGCGCATTTCAGCGCATACCTGAGAGTAGAATTTCGTATGAAAAGATGTTAAAAAAAGTAACTTTTAAAAACGTTAAGTTGGCCCCCCCCCCCGCTTTTTGAAAATTTGTCACGGCTTAACCGTAATGGCGCTAGCTTTAATTCAAGTTGCGCAATTGAGCGACCTAGTTACAAGCGACAAAATACGTACTGGGGGGGGCTACGTTTAGTTGGCCCCCCCAAATGTTTTTTCGAATTTCTAAAAAACGATAATGGCGCAAGAGTTATTATCGGTGGCGCATAACGAGCGCATTCATTTTAACATAATATGAGTATCAAATCTCTCAGTGGGGGGGGGGGGGCCAAGTTAACGGACCCCACTTATGCCGTTTATTAACGATTCTCGAGATTGTATTACTGTCAGTCTGTTTGCCCGTCTGTGAGTGTATCCGTCTATCTGTCTGTCTGTCCGTCCGTGTGCACGATAGCTTTTGCGCAATCCATTTTTTATTTGTTTCAAGCGTTAATTGTCAGTGAGCTCCAAAATGGCGGACGAGTCAACTGTGGTATATATAATAGCTATATCCAAAACAATAGCGCTTTCAATATTTCTGGCGCTATGTATTGGTTAGTCCTGGAACTTTTTGACCCATGTCACAAACTAGGCAATTTTGAAGTTTACATTTTTTTTTTGTTATAGAAACTCAAAAATACGTACAGAAGCGCAAGACGAACAGCTAAGAGTGCTTAATAATCGATTAGAATCGCAACTCTTCAGTACGAGATGTTCAGCCCAACCGTACGTCCTACAATTTCATCCGTACGACCAGCAAATCGCGGTTGCCAGCCGGGATACATTTGCGTAAGTTACCCCCCACGTGAGACCGATCGGCCGCCGTACCGTGTGCGTATTGCAGAATATGGGACTGGGGTCGTGGCGCTAAGATCTCGCATTGTCAGAGTAAATCTCTCAAAAACGCGAACAGTCGAATAACCTCTCTAGAGTGGGTTAACGGGCAGGACATTGCGCTGGTGATGGTCGCTTCTGATGATGGCAGCGTGAAATTATGGCGTTCGAGTGGTAGTAGGGAACCGACTTTGGTTAGCGCCTGGCAGGCTTTCAACGAGCTGATGCCTTCATATAAGTCCAACCGTAGGTGTCTTTCTGAGCTAAATAATGGGGTGGATGAATTATTGTTATATTGTTATTGTTATTGTTATTGTGTTACAGTAGCCGGTGTGCTAGTTAATTGGGAACAATGGACACAAACTGTGATAACCTCGGGTGACACTCGCGTCGTACGTCTGTGGGATGCCGAACGGGAACTACGCGCCTTCGATATTCCGACCGGGGCTGACTGTTCGGTAACGTGCTTGGATTCCACCTACTCCAGTGTGGCCCACGAGAAGCACATCAGATCGCTGATCGAGTCCGACCATTCCGACGACGGCATCTTTATGGGCATGGACAATGAGTTACCCAGTTTTAATAGTCAGAAGCAGGGACTGATCGTTGCCGGTTGCGCGGATGGGTCTGTCAGGCTGTTCGACCGGAGGTGCCCTCCCAGCGACTCGCGCGTGAAGACGTGGGTGGAACACGCCTCGTGGGTTTTAGGCGTGCAGTTGCGCGATAATAAAGTTATCAGCGGCAGGTACTTTTCGCCTTTGAAGCTGAAGCATTTTATGTACAGTTTTCTATTTTTAGTTGCGATGGGGACGTTAAAATTTTTGACGTCAGAAAGAACGAGTCGATATCTGATAACCTTGTCACGCAAATGCGTGATATGACAGCTTTTGCTGTTCACCGCAACGCAGAGATATATGCATGGTAAGTAATCAAAAGAGAAAATGATAGCGTTTTACCTAATTCAAAGCAACGGATGTTTCGAAATTTATTGCTTGCTTTGGATTCATTTTAATTCCCACCCGCCCATGAAAGCTAATACTTTTGAATTATTCCAAGTATATTGTAGGTGTGTAGTAGGCAAAGGGCCGGATTTAGCATGGGCCTATAGCGACAAATATTTTGGGGCGGCAAAAAACACAAAATTTGGGAAATAATTCTACAGTACTATCGTGGAAAAATAACTTAAGAAATTGAAGTTGGAATCTTACGCATCCTCTTACCAACTTAAAAGTAATCATGAAATATGGAGTGGCATAGCCTCACATTTTGACAAAATTATGTGAACTTTGTATTAAGATCGGGGAAAATTTAGGGGTTCTCCCGCAAATTTTTGTTGTTGAAAACGCTTAATTGAGGTGAGGTTACCAATTTCATAATCGTACCTGGGGGGCTTAATTTAAGAACGTAAATATATTAGTTAAATTAGATATAGCCCCCATCACCTCCTCTCCTGTTGATGTAATGATGCGGAAATATTAATAAAAAAGGAGTATACTTCTGTAAAAATTAAAGAGTTAATTTGTTTGTAATTCAAACTACAGATATACTTTGTTTCAATAACACTTTATAAATCTCATAATTAAAATAAAATGTGTTTACTACCAATTAAATCAATCTGAGCAAATCAGAGTAAATTACTAGAAAGAAAATCATATTAACACGTTTTTGTAAAGAGTAAAAATATTGCATATTTTAGAAACAAATTTTGATTGAGGTATAACATGCTTTTTATTGAGGTGGGGGGGGAGTCAAAATATGTAGATCCAGTAGGCATAGCGTTTAAGACATACATTTTTTGTCCCCCAACACACGATTGTAGACAGATTGTTAAAAGAAGGACCGGCTGGATTCGGATTACGATAGGAGGGTAGGAGGTATGAAATTTAGGCCCTCCTGAGAGCCGTTCTCAATGTCACTCAAGCCATCCCACAGATGAGATGAATCTAAACATGCTAGAAGGGGAGGCGACTCTAATCGTCGGCATGTCTGGCCAGGATACCCCCATCATGGATTGTCTCAGTTGGACTGGAGCGGGACATTCACAAAGTATGTGGTCATCATCTACAAGACGGTGATTCTTCCAAACCCATGTGGTGCATGTGTCTGTTTAATTTGCAGTGCCCAGAAAGTATTCCCATGAGTAACCTCAGGTTCTTTCTTGATAACCCTGTGCAAAAACGTAATTCACTTCTTTACAGTTGCAGCTGTAAGTGGAAGAGCCGGCTCTGGACAATAAAACACAGGTTTTGAGGGCAGTTGGGCTAATTAATCGGTTTTCTCATTACCTGCAATTCCAGCATGCTCTTTGACCCATGCGACCTCAAGGGTGTTGGTGCTTGATACTTGCTCTAGTGCATGATGACATTTAATAAGAAAAAGTGTTTTCCCGAGAAATTTTGGTGTAGTCGATTTTTGGTAAAAAAAGGAAGGTTATACACTGCCTTTTTTGAGGCCCGAAAAAAAAATTGTCTCAGATCGACCCGGAAAAAATATTTTCTTGTAGAATGTGGCCTCTAGAATCCATAATTTCAAACAGTTCCAAGATTGGGCTACTAGTTCAAAAGTTACAGCCCTTTGAATTTTCTTTCGAAATTGGTTTCTGGTCTATAACTTTTGATTGAGAAGTCAAATCGAAAAAGTACGAATTGTTTTGGATTCTACGCACCAAAATTAATAAGAAAAAGTGTTTTCCCGAGAAATTTTGGTGTAGTCGATTTTTGGTAAAAAAGGAAGGTTATACACTGCCTTTTTTTGAGCCCCGAAAAAAAAATTGTCTCAGATCGACCCGGAAAAAAATTTTCTTATAGAATGTGGCCTGTAGAATCCATAATTTCAAACAGTTCCAAGATTGGGCTACTAGTTCAAAAGTTACAGCCCTTTAAATTTTTTTTCGAAATTGGTTTCTAGTCTATAACTTTTGATTGAGAAGTCTGATCGAAAAAGTACGAATTGTTTTGGATTCTACGCACCAAAATTAATAAGAAAAAGTGTTTTCCCGAGAAATTTTGGAGTAGTCGATTTTTGGTAAAAAGGGAAGGTTAAGTATTCAAATACTATGCGAAGTATTCGAATACTTTACGAAGTATCCAAATACTTTGCGAAGTATTCGAATACTAAATATTTGTGAAAGTATTTGAGTTACAAATACAAATACTACTTCCATAAAAGTATTTAATTAGACAGTATTTGAATCGAGGGGTATTTCACTGGGGAATTTTGGTGTACACGTGCGGGGAATTACAGGGAATTGCAGAAGGAATTGTGGGAATTGAGAGGAATTAAGGGGAATCGAAGGGAATTGAGGGGAATTGAAGGGAATTGAAAGGCATTAGATGAATTAAAAAGGAATTGAGGGGGCATTGAATGGAATTGAGGATCGTGATCATGTGCCGCGCATGCCCAGTATCAATCAGCTGTTTAACGGTCGAAACTATAATGTAGCGTTAGTGCTAACAGTATGGACAGTGTTGAAATGTGCTTCTTGTAAATAGAATTATAAATTACAGTATGTACTCTGGGATACTACAAAGGTGAGTTAATTGTGGTTAAATGATGAAATTGTGAAAGCGGCGTTTACTGGGAGCTTCTACGAGTTTCCCCATGACTATCCACGATTCATTTAGATATATCGGTCCAGATGGCTGGGCCTGGATTGAATGGATAGAAAAGGAAACAAAAACAAATATTCCAGTATATTAAAAAAACTTATATACTAAAGAATTAAAATCAATTAGGTAATCTGAAAATGATCATGGAAGAAGGTTTAAATTGTGCCTACAGTGATATTCACGCAATAGGAATAAATATGGATAAAGATGTAGCGAATCATTTAGTTTAGATCAACCGGCTTTATGGCTCAGTGGTAGAGCGTTGGGCTATAAATCCGGAGGTAGGGTGTTCGAACCTGGGTTGAGGTGAATTTTTCATCTGTGGCGGAGATAGAAATTACCTTAGACCAGTTTCAAGCATTCTACCGGCTACTCCGAATTAGGTTTTCCTGCAGTTTTCCTAATTCGTAAGGTAAATACCGGAGTAGTATAGACCAACTTAAGACCTTCTGCAGAGGCGCCTCTAAATACCATTATGCGGGTCACTCTGTAATTGGGCGCAAGCCTGTTGAGGGCCCAGAACAAGAGAGGGATAATAAATAAATAAATAAACAAATCTCAACATTTGTACTGACAGGGTAGATCAAGATGTAGATTCTATTGAAAAGCATGATCAGGAAGAATGCGAAGAACAACTGCCAGTAACCAATCGAGAAGAACAATTCAAAAATTTTATGGATTGGGATTTTCTGTTAGAGAATGAAGCAAACGATAAAAATCATGTTGAAAGAGAGATAGACTTAAAGGATTACTCCTCTCGAAATGTTAACTTATCATGCGACGGGGCTTATCTACAGGTTGTTTTACCAAATCAAAATTTAATAGTCATAAAGAAATCGTCTTTTTGTTGGCTTCTTGACGAAAATAATGGAAAGATTAGCAACGATAGACTAAAAAGGTTTTACTCAAATAAAAGAAGCACGTCGACTGAAAAATGCTCCTCAAAGAAAAAAGGAAAAGTTGCGAAAACTACTAGTGAAAGAGAATATGAAAACGAAGTAATATTGGATGATTCTACCGTTGAAGATATACAGAGTGGCCCAACGAGAAGTATACAGAGGGCTTTTAGGGTATTAAATTTAGAAATTTCGAAAAATCCTCGAACACGTCAATTTTGTATTCGAGGGGGACAACTTTTGGAATACAAATCACGAACCCAAGTCTTCACCCCTCTACGTAGGGAGCTTAACCCCTAAAATTTTAAATGGAATCCTATGGCAAATGGCACATTATTTGAAAGCCAATTTAATCGTGATTACTAATCTGCTTTGCTTTTTAAATTCTATTGATTCGTTTCGGCGATATTCGCATTTGAAATGGTTTTTTCCCCTGATTTAAGTCCTTTAGATTACTTCTTGTGGAGATATTTAAAGAATAAAGTTTATGCTATTCCGCCCGGAACATTACAAGGGTTGCGAGCACGTATAACCACCCCTTGATTTGAATACTTTAAAGGATTTGAATACTAAAAAGTATTTACAAAATCGAATACTGTCCAGCTCTGACGACAAGGCAACTTCTCTGTAATGGGTTTAAAATCGTTGTCACTGTCAAGGACCGTCCTAAATTGCATTATTTTGCATATAGGGGTTAGCGCCCTGGAATAAGGAATCTTCCAGTAATGAGCGTCATTATTTTTATTTTTTTGTTTTAGCGGCTCCGCGAACCAAAACATAAGCATACACAACATGCTCGGCACGAACTTGAACAGCATCCGATTTCACGAAGGCTTCATGGGACACCGTATCGGACAGGTGACCTGTCTTGCGTTTCATCCACATAAAGTCGCTCTGGCCGCAGGCACCAACGACTGTTTACTTACAATATACTGTATGGAGAGCCGAAGATGACATGGATCCATATCCTAGGCAAACCCCTTCTGGGGACTACTAGGATATTAGCTAGCGTAATTTTTTTTTTTTGTGGCGTAAGAGATGCATTTAGAGAGACGATTTTTTTAATTCTGCCATTTGTTGAACAAATTTTTATTTATGTAAATACTCGCTCATTTTTTTTGTTTTAATATTTTTCACATTGCTATTATGTTGTACATTTGTATCCAAAGATTGTATTTTAGGTTAGTTTTGATTTTATCGATTTTAATTATAAGTACGTATATCGTGCCCGATTGATTTTTACTGTCAGATACCAATAGATGAAGACGTTTTAAACAAACTATTGTTTCCTGATTTTGGTGCTATGTAGTAATAGTAATAATAATATATTGTACATAGTATATACAGGTACTCTAGCGCTGAAGCTTACTTTTTATATTTATTTAGGGATTTGCATGTGTACAAATGTGTATTTTATGATTTAATAATAAGAATGAACAAATACGTCGTCAAAGACAAAAATGTTAAGATTGCCTTCTACATTTATTTAGGAATAAATTTTACTTCGATAATTGTTTCTTCTAGATGGGTATGCTGAGTTTCTGAAACTTTATTTTTGTGTGTTATTATGGCTCTCAGTCGCCAATTTTTGAATGGTAAATTCTACTGATTTAAATATAACAACTTACCTAATTACTTAAAAAATTCTTGTCTAGTACTTAATTAAGGTAAACCATTGAATAAAAACACTATAAGAAGCCTAACCCCGTGGAAATAAAGCGCGACAGAGTTTGAACTGAGAATATAATGGGAACACTGTCAATAGAGTCGATTCTTGAACTGAGAAGAATGAGAATTTGCTTTCCTCCTATTTACCGCAAAGAGAGTTCGGCGGTCACAACCAATGCGGGTGCAAGGGGATTTGTGAGATTTGTCGCGCTTTCTTCCATAAGCGTTAGGCTTCTTATAGTGTTTTTATTCAATGGGTAAACTATACTAATAATTATCCTGCTTAGTCCCATTATCATAAAGAATTCGTCAATAATAATTTGAATTCTAATTTTGTCACCATTCTAGATGTAATAATTTATTTTTCTACTATAGGTACAGCCTAATCTGTGGTACAGCTGAATACAAAAGATATATATGAAACAAAGAAAAATATAAATATTGCCAAAATTCGAAGTAGTTTGAACTACTTGTAATGTAATGGCATTTACAAAAAAAAGGATATAAATCAAACCTGACTTCTTTTCACAAAAAAATAATAATAAACTAAACTAAAAAATTCAATTAACAATCTTGCCAAATTTAAAAGCGGGATATGCTATTTTCATTTCGCGAGGTAGGATGGAATAACGCCTTTGAGCAATGTTTAGTAAGCACATCGTTTACCGATTTTCTTTACAGTAAATTTATCATAAATCCATTACATTGGATTCCGTATATAAGGATTCACTAGCATAAAATATATTTTTCCTATAAATTATTCGTAGAATCCCCCCAGCCAACAATTCCATATATTAATAGTGATTGGATTAACGAGAAATACAAAACACGCATCTGTTGAGTGAGTACGCTATCTCATAAGTTTTAGGTAAAACTGCTCTTAATTTCAGGCCACCAGATCCGGCCAGTCGAGGCTCGGCGATCGTACATTGCAGATGTTTTCACCAAAGTTTCCATGCAACTGGAAGAAAAAACAAATCTGTTTGATTGTTGTCAGACCGGACTCTCCTCTCTGGAACGTGCACTAGCTTCGGTGTAGGAGGAGCGGCGCTGCGTCATGTGTTTGTTTTCTTCAGAGCGTCTGGTCGGCAGAAATTCCACTTCCAATGTAGGACCGGCTTAAGATGGTTATCTAAAACGATACCAAGCTATTTTATAGACTGATTCTAATCTAATCCTTAGCGGTCCTCAATTAGGAAGCCCTATGACTGTGACATAAGAAGTAAAAGGTCTTGTCTTTTGTTTTTATAATTTATTGTTAATTTGTTATACTGTAATCATGATGAAATTGTTTGAAAGTCGTATAATATTTTTTGTTTTAGGTTTTCCCACGTAGGAGCAGTATAAAGCACTGCAGTGTCGTCCGCATTCTGCCTGTAGTACTTAGCCCGAGCAAGTTGTTTATATACAATGTAAATAACACTGGTCCTAACACTATTCCTTGAGGAACACCGTAAGTAATTATTTGTATGTAACTTTTAAAATTGACCCCGATCTGTACATATTTTTTACAAAAAAATAACCCTCTCACTTTCGCTCGATGTTTTTCTAGTTCCTCATTCCACCAGGGACCGGTCCTCGTTAGACCTTTAGTTTTTGTGAGGCAGGCTTTTATGCCCCTGTTCACTATTTCAGGTGAGGTTGAATTTATATACTCAATCAGCAGTTCACCCCTCTAGTTTGTGTCTGTACTGCCCCATATGCTACGGGGTGGACGTTGACATCGAAGCCCATGACTAGAGATTGATGTTCCTCCGCTTGCAGTATGCCAGTATGCACTAAGCCGAGGCCACTACGCCTTTTTCCCCACCCCGAAGGTGACTGTTAAGTTTTCTAGCCCCTAGCCACATCGGATCCCTGGACGGACGACTGGCGTTCGCTAGTTGGGGGAGCCTGCGCCTTCGACGGATTGTTCCGTTTGGCCTTTTTGTTGCTCTTCAGCACTCGCCATTCCTTAGTCTTGAACAGGGTAACGGCCGGCCGGGTGGCGCAGTTAACTATTAGTCCAGGGAATAGAGGGTTTTAACTTGCAAAATGAGAAGTAATTTCTTTTGCATGTCATAGACAGTCATCTGGTGGTTAGGAATCTAAGATTTCGACCTCCCACTCCTTGTGCTTCTCCCGTACCACCCCCAAAACCCTTGAAATTTGGATGGTTTCTTAGTTTTTCAATCATATCTTTTTAATGGTTCATTTTACAAAAAAATATTGTTATTAGACCATAAAATTCTACACAACTTTGATATGCACTTTTTTCTGAAATGTTTATTACAAAAGATATTGAGCTTGAGAGTTGGTTATATTTTTAAGAATTCTGAAATTTCTATGTAGCGATGGTTTAACCAAATTTCATACTTTATGTCTACAATTAAGAGTTTTATGAGAAAATATCTTGGAATTTATCGTGGTATAAATCCCTCTACCCTGGATTCTTACCAAAGGGTAACTTACATAATAATAAATGAATAATAATAATGAAACTTGCAACCCTTGCTAGTGAGGATATTTGAATCACTGTGAGGTTATTGTAATATACTTTTGCAATTAAAAAATTGTCTCACTTCAGTTCAATTTCACCCCCCCTCCCCCAGCGCGCGCGGAGGGAATAGATATTTAAACGCTCCTGTGGGGATTGTGAAGTTAGTGAGAGAGTAGGTACAACGCTTATTACACATATTTTCTATTGCTCTTAAAACCTATTCCTACTGCGGGGTGGGGGGGATCATATGAAGGATGAAGCTGAACTGAAGTGAGATAATTCAAACGTATATTAGAAAGCCCTACAATCTCACAGTGATTCAGATACCCCCACCCCCACTAGCAAGGGTTGAAAGATTATTGTACATCACCTTTGGTAAGGGTGCAGCGTAGGGGGATTTATACCACGGTACATTCAAGATAGTTTCTCACAAAACTCTTAATTATAGGGATAAAGTATAAATCTTTTTTAATAAACATTTCACAAAAAAGTAGTGTACATCAAAGTTGTGTAGAATTTTCTCATTTTCAGTCTCTATTTCTTGGACTATATGGTGAAGGCCAGAAAGGGTCCCTGGTTCGAATCCGGATTCGGGCATGGATATTTTTAAATGTATAGTGGGTTGGGTTGCCGGCCGGTAGAGCAGCCTTGGCTGAAACCCCGCCCACTCAAAAATTAAGGCAAAATAATAAAAAATATTTTAAATAACTTCCACTAGGCGGCACTGAACCCCTAGCATTGGTGTGGCATACTGGGGGCTCCGCTGCAGTGTAACATTTTAGGGGGTATAATCACTGACCTCTAATTTTTTAGGTTAGTGAGTTCAAAAATAAGTTTTGTTTAATTTAATAACGAATTGAGATATCCTACAGTTACGTAAGATTTACTTATAAGTCTGTAATTGCTTAAAATTTTTAATAGAACGTGTTATTAAATAAGAAAATAATTATCCAAGAAAGAAATAGAATTCATAGAAAAAAGTGTTTATCTTGAAAAAATAAATATCATACTTAGTATAATAGGTACAAAACAAATAGATATATATATATATATATAGGTACTTATGGATATATGTCATACTTTGGACATACGGCGCAAGAGACTTGTTCCTGCTCCGTCATCGATGTCCACTGCCGTACACGCTAATTCATCGAAGATCTCGTTCTCACTCTGACAACATCGAATACAAAATTGATCAATTAATTCCTCCAGAGTGACAGCAATAGATTTACTAATATTTAAAAATATAATGTTATAGTTCTTCGACCGTAAGTCCGTCAGCAAATGTTTCAGTGTCTACAATGAGAGAGTGTTCAAAAATAGCTTCATTTTAACCAAATGTTACGCATACCTCTTTAGAGGTGTAGTCAACGTGAAAAAAGTGTTGGAAGTCTATCACTAATGGAACGGTGTAATCTATTGAGGAGACCATCTTCTGCACTCGCAGATTGAAGAAGTCGCTAGCCGAATAGTACAATCCCAATTCTGGTTTAATTAAAAGGTAATTTCGTTTTTTGTCCAGCTAAAAACGAGGGATTAAGTATGCATTTAAATATAGCCATCGTTCACTTACTGATTTAACGGAGAACTCAATCTGTGGTCTTGTCCACACCTTCAGCAGAGGTATGCAATTGATTATAACGCCAACCAATAAACCTTGTTCAACACTGAACACCAAACTGATGATGAACGTTACAACTGTAACTAGCAATTCGAATTCTAACACCAAGAAAACGATTTAAAACGCCAGTGGTCGATTTTCCAAAATACTCACTGTTGGCCTTCCACAGCTTTGGCACTATTTTATAGTCGATCATAAATAAGACTGCACTAATAAGTACAGCTGATAAGCTGGATTTTGGTACGTAGTAGAAGTACGGCGTTAGAAATGAGAGCGCTAGCAAAATTATCGTGCCTAAAATTCTCAAGTGTAGTACTCAAAATTGGAAGACAAGCGAGTTGTTTACCGACGTAAACTCCGGTCATGGGCGTGTGCACTCCACTCGCATGAGCGACAGCCGATCGAGTAAACGCACCACACGTTGGCATCGATTGAACAAACGAACCCAAGATATTGCATAAACCTAGCGTCATCATCTCTTGGGTGGCATCCACAGGTTTGCCAGTACCTACAATTTGAGCCTTTGACAAAATGGAATTAACCAAGTGTGATATTATTACTGAAAGCTTTCGCGACAGCCACATTGGATAAGACGGCAACAACTGGAAGTACGATGGCACCGGTACCCAATTTTTGAACCATCCCCACAAAGGTCACCGTGTCGTTTCCGATTTGCGTACTAAATTTGGGCAGTGCGAGCGTTGGTATCCCCGACACGACAGTTCCTGCAACAACGTGTTGAGCACCAAGCGTTACAGTTTTCGAAATACTCACCACTAAGACTGAACGGAGATTCGCCATACTTGTGCTCGAAGTAAAAAGCAATTATAGAAGAGACCAAGACTACCAGAGCATTTCTACTGATTGACAACAACCATAAAGCCTTAGTCGCGCTTGGAGATTTTAATTTTATATCTTTAAATTTCTGTAAATAAGAATTGTTTATTTAAATGGCACCTGTCGTCATATATTACGCAGGTAGCGTAATTATTAACGTCACCGACGTAATAAATCCATCAGCGCTCAACATACTTACGCTGAAAATTAATAAAATAATTATACAGCAAGTGCCCAAGATAAGATCGTTGACTTTAATATTATCAGAACGTTCGTAAAATTTCTGAGCGTAATGAAAAATGTTGTCGCTGCTAAATCGGATGCCGACAAGGCCTTTCAGTTGGGCCAAAATGATCGTAAGCGACGTGGCCGTTGTAAAACCGGAAATTGCGGGCATCGATATGAAGTCCACCAGGAATCCCAATTTGAAGATGCCCATGAGAAACTCGACCCATCCGCACAGAAAGCATAGGAGAATAACGAACTCGATAGGTAAACCCTTCGTGTACGACAGAGTTAACAGGGCCATTAAGCTGGTAGGTCCAATCGAAACTTCTTTAATCGATCCAAAGAAGGTGTACACAAAACCGCCCATGAAAGACGAGTAAAGGCCGTAATGCGGCGGAAGATTTGCAAGAGATGCGTACGCCATAGATTGAGGCATTATGGTCAGTCCCAAAGTTAGCCCGCTAACCAGATCGGCCACGCAATCTACCTTTGAATAGTTGGTAATCCATTGGGTTATGTGGACGCGCTTTTTCAAAGACGCCAGTAATTTGTCTTTTTCAATGTGTACTGCAAGAATTACGATAACAACGCGATTTGGGTATTTTGGAACTTACTGTTCATGGTTACGCACTGGTGTAGAGCGAGGCTGCAAGAATGTTCACTGTTCACTTACATCAAACCAAGTATACGCTGTTGATTACCTTTGTTTCCTTATATAAACGTGCTCGGTACTTATGTAAATAATTTCTTAACATTATATATAATATTTGCATACGTTAAAAATAGTCTCTCACTAGGTACTACCTACCTATACACATCCAGACCATATCAAAATTGTTGAAAAACGCGCGTATCTGCCTGGTAACAATTTACGCACCGTTTGCTTGGGTTTTAGATTTGCGAAATATTTCCTGATTTTGCAGTTTTTTAAATTATTAAGGCAGATCATGGGCACATCTACGAATACCGGCCGCTGGTAATTAGACATAGTCCAAAGCTGAGCAAATTTTTCCTATCAATCGATTACTATCATTAACAACAATTCCGCTGACCCCAACGAACTCGCATAGTGAGAAAGGTGAAGGAAAAGCTACTCTATTTTTTACGGTTGCTTCCATAGGCAGTGCAAAAAAAAAGCTTCTATTGTTCTGTTAAATTTGGTTTATGGTGTTTACAGAGGAAGCGGACCAAACAATAAAAAAATTACAACAAACAATAACAGTGAAAGAATGTGGAAGTCTTATCAAGACGATTGTTTGGTCAAATATATATTTACACCGTAAAGTGTTAAATAAATCACCTGAATTCTTTTTTGTTTTTTTTTTAGATTACGTTCTTACATTGCAGCTTGATGAGTGTGTATGTAGGTACCATCGGGTACCTCTAGTTCCTTTTCGATTACACAATGATAAGACACCAGCTGAGTCTGGTTTTGTTTTCTCGTAAAATTACTACGAATGCACACGCCGTTTATATTTTTCTTTTTGTAAAATACCTATCTGCATTTACCTACTATTGGCGAAATTATACTTATAATAGCAAAACTCAGCTATAGTGCTGGACAGTATAAATACTTAGGTAGAGGTGTTCTTTTTCTACTCGAGAGACCTGCAGGAACCTGTACCATACACATCATGCACAAATACATGGATTTTTGCACCCAAATTGAAAAGTATTGCATTTACCTAACTCTCGAGGATAGAGTTGTTCCTAATTTTTTTTGGAATTAGTACCTTCGCTTTATAAGTACTTGTTTCGTTTGTGCTTTAGTTTTCAAGTAGGTTTCAAATACTAAGCAATTATATACAGGGTGGCCATTTTAAAACGAAACAGAGCCTATTTTGGGGACCTCAAAACATCTACGGAAAAATACTCGGACCCGTCAATTTTTTATTCAAGGGGGAACAATTTTTTCGCTAGTTTCGCCCCCCTGAGGGCAAAGCCCTAGCGGGGGTGACAAGCGCCCCCAAAATTTTAAATCGAATGGGTGGTCGAGTGATATCTGATTTTGAAGGTATTTTTATGTGGATTATAACCCTTAAGTTTTAAATCGCTACTAATTTGCCTAGCCCATACAGGGGCTAATAAAAGTTACAAAAATGTGTCAACATTTTCTTATGAAAAAATATTCTTGTAAATGAATTAGTTAAATAACAAAAATAAAAACAACAGTAAATACAAAAAATGTTGTTCTCCTACATTCTGAGCCGTACTTTTTGTTGTTTTTTTTTCTTTTTAATACTCGTAAGTACATATGCCTTTTCTGCAACGCAAATTTTGGTTATTGTTGAGAGCATTACTATAGCATCATTTTGAAGTTTAATAGTGATTGTCAATTATTGTTGTCAGAACGAGAGAGGGATAATAAATAAATAAATAAATAAATAAATAATGGTTTATTCACTTGCTGAAATAATTTATCTTTTTTTGCAAACAATGAAAATGCTAATAGAACTGCCCAGCTCTTTAATCGACAACACCAGAATCGACTGGTCCATCGTATGTTTGGGCTGCCATTTTTGGTAACCGTATCGTAGGCCCCTTCTTTTTACCTGGAACTTTAACAGGAGAGATGTACCTGGAGTTATTAGAAAAGACGATTCGTCCAGCATTAGTGGAGATACTAGAAAATAACAACGACTACTTGGAAATAGTCTAGTATTTCAGCAAGATGGTGTGCCACCCCACTATGCTGCAAGGGTTCGTCAATATTTGGACCAAACGTTTCCAGGACAATGGATTGGAAGAAAAGGTGCTATTGAATGGCATCCTCGTTCCCCGGACTTAAGTGCGTTAGATTTTTCTTATGGGGCCATTTAAAAACTAAAATTTATGCTAGTCAGCCAACATCGTTAGACAACTTGCGACAAAAAATAATTGACGAATGTCGTCAAATTACCCCATAAGTTTTTCAAAATGTACGGAAAATGTTTGAACAAAACCTGTATTATTCTATGGAAGTCGAAGGTCAACATTTTCAACATTTACTTGATTTAAAACTTAAGGGTTACCACATAAAAATACCTTCCAAATAAGGTATCACTCGACTCCCCATTCGATTTAAAATTTTGGGGGCGCTTGCCACCCCCGCTATGGATTTGGCACCAGGGGGGCGAAGCTAGCAAAAAAATGGTTCCCCCTTGAATCAAAAATTGACGGGTCCGAGGATTTTTTCGTAAATGTTTTGAGGTCCCCAAAATAGGCTCTGTTTCGTTTTCAAATGGCCACTCTGTATATAGATGATTCACAATAATTTGTCCATTCATACCCATAATTATACCTTTGGTGTATATACCTACCCCAATAACACCTGCAGCGTTTCATACGTCTGGAGATTTAATTTAATTTAAGTAGGCTGTATCCATATTTGAAAATTATCTTTCTCCCGTTTTATGAAATGGTGACCAAATTTTGGGATAGGTCTTGCCTATCAGGGAACGAATGCTAATGAGCGTGCTCGAACTAAACGCCCTCATTGGGAAACAGGCTTGCTGCATCTTTCAGCCGTGTAATAGTATGTTTTTTGTTGCTATTAATTATACCGAAAGTTTATATATGTTACGAAACTATTTCTGCTTTACAAAGTAATAAATATTAACATTCCATATCTGGCGTTAAAAATATGTTTTTCCATCGGACAGTCACATCTACACATGTGTGGTTGTGTATACTTGAAGTTTCTGCAAAATATTTACTTACGTACCTTGAGTATGCGAGTGAATATATTATATTACAATAAACCGTTTAGTGAGAGTGGGTATGTATATGCCAGTATGTGAAAACAAGAGTTCCGGATTTTGCTGGTGCGTGATCAAATAAAAAATGTCTTAGTAACAAAAACGGAGGTCGATCACTATGCAGAAGTACTGAATTATGTACACGCGTAATCTCAATGACGTCATACAAAAAGTTATCTTGGTAAAATATGTTTTCTTATGATTTACAAAATTGTAATATTTGTTGCAGACATTTTTCATCGTTCGAGTTAATGACTGTAAAGGTCATCAGATTCTCGAATTCGTTCTAATCAATTTGTGTGAAGCAGTATAGTGAGGTCATTTTGTTCAGATCATAGCAAACCTACATGACGTCACCGCAAAATCCACGCCATAATTTAGGTCACCCATTTTACTTTAATTAATTCCTTTGATTAAGTCGCCCGCTCCCTACAGCTAATCATCCATCCTATGCGTGAGGATGCTGGAGAGAAAAAGGTGCCCTTACGGACAGTCTATTTCTTTAATCTGTCTATACCCCAGACAACCGGCAGTCAAAAAGACCCATAATTCGATTATTCTTATTATTTTAGATAGCCAGAAAATTCATTTGACGGGAGCTGGACTTATGAATGATTAGCAATCTTATTCATTAGTATACCCTTCCAATTAAAACTTATGGGGAAGGCTTTGTGATCTTTGTTCCGGATTATCATTTACCCCATTTCGAGCTTCCCTGAGAGAATGGATACTCAACAAGTTTATACTCTTCCATTTGTGGGCTGGAATATAAATATAAAATTTTGATCGTGCGTGTATATCAAACCATTTTTCATGTAGATGAGTTTGCATTATTACATTCCAGGGAATTCCCAAGTTCCGACCCATTGAGTAACGTCTCGGCGGTTATCTGCGTGGTTTTTATATTTGTCTGACGTAGTGGAATAACCAGTTCCTATTTGAGGTAAACTATAGCTACTATAGGTAGGTATATTCTGGCTTTCAATCCTTTCTTGAGGACCGATGCACGATCGGCTATAAACCCGTTAGGAGTGTAAAAAACTGTAGGTGTAATTCCCAAGTTCTACAAAAAATCCTCCCTTTGAACCGTGATGATATCTCGTTTTGAATGATCTTGTTATTGGTCGAGGTTGAGCGGCCCCGTTCCTTTTAGCGGTTGGTCAGCGAGTTGTGTTGTCTTTAGCTCTTCCGTCCCTTATTTTTATTACACGATGTGTCTGCACTGCTTAGCAAATGGAGATTGCTCTGAAATATGGTTCCTCCCTTGGTGATTTCATTGGCAGCAAAAAATGTATACTTGTCCGGACCATGCCGACGTGGCGAGCTGGAAACGGGAAAGATTGCCTCTGATGTATCCACTATAAGGATCGGGTGTTTTTAACCGAACCGGGAGAAAGGCGGGAAATTGCAGTTTCCCAATCAGGCGGTGATGGTTTCATGGTCATGATTAGGAATTGTTCCAGGTTATCGGAACTGACCGTTAAAATCGTCTGGTGTTGTTGTGGCAATTATGACGGCCACAATGGCTGGAGAATGGCGTACCCGAATGCATGGACATCAGGCTACGAAGCTGTAGAAGTAATTGGGACGGTTTGATTTTAAACAAGACTAAGACACGGAGATCGGGCAAAGTTTATCGCCCTTGCGTGGACTATGGCAAGGTTTTTGTGTCGAAGAAGGTTTCCCTGACATGTGAGTAATATATTTTATATGTTTTTGTCTTTTTCTACGCACCAAATTATGAATTTTTATCCAATATTTCCTTTCCCATTTGTGTATAAAAAGAACCGCCACTTTTAACACAGACTGTTACCCAAATTCGAAAGTGCCGCGAAACGTCCGTCGTTTTGACGTGAAGGTAACGGTGGCTCAAGATCGACTTCTGTGGGGGTGCATTAAGTTGCAAACCCCACTAAAAAGAATAGCAAATCTATTTTGTACTAATTGTGTACTTATTTGTACTACTACATTTTAATCGTTAGGACCAAATCTACATTGGGGTTGCAACTTAATGCCACAACCCCAAGTATAGAGATTTCTATAAATGCATGGCCCATAATTTTGTACTCATTTGTACCGTAAGCAAAAAATTTTGTACCTTACCTTTTAACCGCCACTATCAAATTAATTTTGGAGGTGCAACTTAACGGTACAACCCCGAGCATACAAACCCATGCAAATTTTCGCGCCATAATTTTGTACTAATTTGTACTGTAAGTAACTAATTTTGTACCAGTACTTTTTGACTGCTAGAATCAAATATATGTTAACGTTACTATCTCGTGCATATATTATGTAGGTACATTCATAAAATTCTTGACCCTTGATTTTGTACTCATTTTGCATTAAATTTGTACCTCTGCGTTCCATCCACTAGTATCCAATCTATATTGGGGTCATAACTTACGTCACAACCCCTATTATATAAATTTGCCAAAATTTTGTCCCATGATTATGCACTAATACCTATATAATGTATCGTTATAAGGAAATTATTTTTACGTACGTTATTTTGTCCCTTTTTTCAATTTTTCTTAGGTTTTTTTTCTAGGGGTTGGGATCTCAGCACGTAGAACATTGCGGATATTTTTTAGCGACTTTTTTAAGAATTAAAAAAAATGTGCTATTGTTTGCGTTTTGTCCGTCCGTCCGTCCGGACCCACTTCTGCCGTTTTGAACTACTTCTAGATGAATGATCCTAGAGTCCTGGAATTTTTTTGCAGTAGGTAGCCTATACCTTGAAGGTGTGCTAGACGGCCACTAAATTTTGCTGTCTTAAGGGGAGGGCCCCAATGAATTATTTACTGAGATGCTGTTTTTGAAAGTGAAACGTGCATCACATAGGGCAATCAATTGGTGTAAGATTTTGCATACGCATTCCATTAGTGGTGCCAAGTAAAACATTTGAAAATGTGTGTGTGGGGGGGAGGGGGGGTAAACACCACGTTCTACCCTTCATGGTATTCCAACGAAAGGGCTCATCGAAATAAATTGGTTTGTACAAACTATAACTTTCCTGCGCGACTCTTTTTTGAAGTGATTCCGTGCGTGATGATTTCCCTAGCCAGCTTACCGATCAAAAATGCTTCAGTGGCATCCACATAGCTTTTATATAGGTCGCTGTCGCAATACGCTGAACAGGTAATCTGAAGAAGTGCATCAAAGGCACACGTATTGGCCAGTATTACTCTTTCGCCGTTCACATTTAGGGGACGAAGTGAATCCTTGTTTGCCGTTTTTTAACAACCCAATTGATAACACAGGTTTTAACTGGCTCAAGTCCTTTCTTAACCATTCCGAATTTTGTGTTAAATACGATTTATATTTCCCTCTTTGTACATCTGCCAAACCCCGCCAGTTTTCTACCTCCTTCATGTCACATGCTCTTCTTCCAACTGGATTATCTACCTCAGGATTTTCACTTTCATTTTCCTTTTCATCACCACCAGGAAAGTGTAAAATGAAAATTAAAAGCAGGCATGTAATACGTATTAATTTTTTTCGTTTTCCGTCTTGGTAGAATACTTGATTTTTTTGTCCATATTCACATAGGCAATAATTTACCCCAAAAAAGCTGTCAAATGGCTTATAGGGTAAGTTAACCATCAGTGTCTATCAAGTCGCGTTGATATTAATTAATATTCAATCATCAGTCAATGCGAATAGCCTAATAAATGTAAAACCTTTTTTCTAAGGGTTCTATATGTATTTTTTTACACTTTGGGGGCAGATTTCACCCTATGAGGTGGCTCAGTAAATGAATGCCAATTTTTTGAAGATACTAAGGCTAAATTCAAATGTGAAATTCTTTTGCAAAAGGTGGCGGCAATTTTTTATTGTTTTATGTTGTTCCTTTCGAATAGAGAGGGATCTAAGATGAATTTTGGTTTATCTGCTGGAAAATGACTGCTATGCGAGAGTGCATTCGCAAATTTGTTTTTTATGGTAAACGAGCCACTGGTCGTTCGTTCGTTTTCGGCATTTTGGCTGCTATATTCTGACTGCTAATTTCACACGAGTGTTTTACCGATTTAAGAAACACTGGACATTAACCAATACATTTCTTTAAACCAGAATTTAACTTCCGAAGTCTACTTCAGTTTAAACCAGCAATGAACAACTGAGCTCAAATGTTAAAATAGGTAGTAAAAAATACCATCGTAGCTTATTTTGTTGCTCACGATTCCGATTACACATCTCGCAGTTCCAATTTCAAATGTGTACACACAAATTAAATAACGTATTATGATCAATATTTAAAATTCAAAGATAAATCAATAAAAATGTTTCAAAACTCACTCGTGATCACGGGCAAATGTAGACCATATATTAGCAGCTATCAATAAACGAACACCCAAAGTCTCTAGCTGGCCCAGGGGCCGAGATTTCAATGGAACAGACAGACAGACAGGCGACGGAAAATCGAGCACATAAACGTTACCTCAACTTCGTTAAACGCTACAAATACCAAATGAGAAAATCGAGAGTAGGTACATAGGTACTGAAGATGCAAAGTAACAATTGAGTCTGTATAACAAAAGTTTTATACCAATTTATACTGAAAATAAATACCCTCGTAAATAGCTAAATACCTATATTAGGTACATCATCTTTATAGTCCATTGGAAAACGTGTGTTACGCATTATCTACGTAATTAACTGTTTGCCTGTCTGTCTATTTGTCTGTCTGTTGCAACCACAACATATATACATTTGGTCCTAGCGATTAAAAAGTAGTGGTACAAAACTAGTTGCTTTTGGCACAAATTAGTACAAAATGAGTACAAAACTATGGCATGAAAATTTGTATGAATTTGTATATTCGGGGTTGTACCGTTAAGTTGCACCTCCAAAATTAATTTGATAGTAAATATTTTTATATATATTTTAATTTTTTGGTTACGGTACAAATTAGTACAAAGAATCTGTATACGTGGGGGCGTAGATGTAGATTTGGTCCTAGTTGTTAAAAGGTAGTGGTACAAAAGTTCTTATTTACCGTGCAAATTAGTACAAAATGGGTACAAAATTCTGGCACAAAAATTTTTAAGAATGTGAGAATACTTGGGGTTGTGGCGTTAAATTGCAACCCCAATGTAGATTTGGTCCTAACGATTAAAATGTAGTGGTACAAAATTTGTTATCCACGGTACAAATAAGTACAAAATAACAGTATTAATAGATTTGCTAATCTTTTTAGTGGGGGTTGCAACTTAAGGCTCCTCTTCTGTGAGCGTTGTTATTACGAAAAAAACAATTGAAATGATTTTTTTTTAAATTTTCCTTTACGTCCACATTGTTAGTAAATGATCGCGACATAGGCAACCTGTTACAAATTACTAGCGAAACATTTTTTTGGTTTGATTAATAGAAGTCCTTTTGCATCATGAATGCTCTCCATCGTTACAAAAATAACAAAATTTAATAAAATCTGTTTTAATTCGATACTATGCGATGCATAATAAAGTTATATACAAAATATAAATTGTTGCAAAAAGGTCTGCAATCGATTATTAAAAATTTGAACACAGTAATAACAATTACAAAAAAACTGTTTTCAGTTTGACCGTGTTGTTCCTTAATTATGTAAATATAAAACGAATAAATAGAAGTCATTTTCATTAATACAGTAATTGTCTAAACTCTATCTTTGAGCAGTCTATATATGGCTCGCTACAAGCATTGCAGATTGCATGCAATGCTGAGGTAACACGACCTAATGGTACTATTGAGCATACACAGATACACCTAACTATAATGGTAAATAATATGAACCAGATACACTCGGTAAACGTGACACCACAACCTGCGATCTTCGGCTAAAAATAATCCTAAATTATCTGTGATAAACTCATTTCAATCTGAGATAGGTGATGTTAACAAGTGTAAGTTTAACAATTAAAAATAAAATTATTTTCGAAATTAAATCTTATAAACTAAGTACATGGTGGTAATAACATAAACTTGTACAAACAAATTTGCGCAATTTTATCACAGATACAAATTAACTGGAAATTTAAACTAAAGATTGTTTGTGCGTATTGTAAACATAACTTCTTCGTACGAGAGCCAAAATGTTAGAGACCACGGCGCCATTCGTAACCAGATTGGGAAGAATCCTTTATACAAAGCTCCAAATCCCTCAGCCTTCGTTGTTTTGATTAAACAGTCAATGGACGACTTGTACAACGTACCTCTAAAACTCTAGAATTAGAATTACAACTTGTTAACGAACGCTTACCGGCCCTCGCTGTCGATGGGCTGATTCATAACACGCGTTTTAATGACATCAGCTGGCGTCCCCATGGATGCGGCAACGAACCCTGCACAAAAACTCGACAGAACGTGAACAAAATGATTATCCTTCCACGTAGTGTTCATTAAAATGAACCGTTTGGCATAATCGTACGTAGTGAGATCACCCAAATTGACTAAAGCTGCTCGTTGTACATTTGGTACAGAACCTAAAAATAATTAGATTAATAACCCATGAAAGACTGGCGTTGCCATATGGCAACAACAAAATGCTGTTGTCCTAAATGTCACTGTAATTCAAATTTAACGAAATAATAATAATAATAATAATAATGGATGCATTCTATGCACCAAAATTAATAAGAAAAAGTGTTTTACCGAGAAATTTTGGTGCAGTCGATTTTTGGTAAAAAAGGAAGGTTATACACTGCCTTTTTTTGAGGCCCTCAAAAAAATTGTCTCAGATCGACCCGGAAAAAAAATTTTCTTATAGAATGTGGCCTGTAGAATCCATAATTTCAAACAGTTCCAAGATTGGGCTACTAGTTCAAAAGTTACAGCCCTTTGAATTTTCTTTCGAAATTGGTTTCTAGTCTATAACTTTTGATTGAGAAGTCTGATCGAAAAAGTACGAATTGTTTTGGATTCTACGCACCAAAATTAATAAGAAAAAGTGTTTTCCCGAGAAATTTTGGTGCAGTCGATTTTTGGTAAAAAAAGGCCTTTTTTTGAGCCCCGAAAAAAAAATTGTCTCAGGTCGACCCGGAAAAAAAATTTTCTTATAGAATGTGGCCTGTAGAATCCATAATTTCAAACAGTTCCAAGATTGGGCTACTAGTTCAAAAGTTACAGCCCTTTGAATTTTCTTTCGAAATTGGTTTCTAGTCTATAACTTTTGATTGAGAAGTCTAATCGAAAAAGTACGAATTGTTTTGGATTCTACGCACCAAAATTAATAAGAAAAAGTGTTTTCCCGAGAAATTTTGGTGCAGTCGATTTTTGGTAAAAAAAGGAAGTGTTTACACTGCCTTTTTTTGAGGCCCGAGGAAAAAATTGTCTCAGATCGACCCGAAAAAAAAATTTTCTTATAGAATGTGGCCTGTAGAATCCATAATTTCAAACAGTTCCAAGATTGGGCCACTAGTTCAAAAGTTACAGCCCTTTGAATTTTTTTTCGAAATTGGTTTCTAGTCCATAACTTTTGATTGAGAAGTCTGATCGAAAAAGTACGAATTGTTTTGAATTCTACGCACCAAAATTAATAAGAAAAAATGTTTAACCCAGAAATTTTGGTGCAGTCGATTTTTGGTAAAAAAAAGGCCTTTTTTTGAGCCCCGGAAAAAAAATTGTCTCAGATCGACCCGGAAAAAAAATTTTCTTATAGAATGTGGCCTGTAGAATCCATAATTTCAAACAGTTCCAAGATTGGGCTACTAGTTCAAAAGTTACAGCCCTTTGAATTTTCTTTCGAAATTGGTTTCTAGTCCTTAAGTCCGGCACATAATTGGCGTCACCATCCCTTACCTTTCCATAATCCTCGATAACCCGAGCTTTTCACAATTTTCACAAATGCGTCGCTCATACTACTAACACGCGGCGGCAACCCCATCAACTTCCTTTTGCCCTCCATTTGCAGTTGCACCTTTAGAAGATCAGTCGGACTCGATATGTACTGAGCGAAAGCGCCCGAACATATACCACCTAAAACGGTTCAAGTGTATCAATATTCAAAACAGAAATTTGCCCTTACAAAATGCAGACTTGTACAAGGAGAAGTGCTCGTTGGGCTTCTTCTTGAAAATGTCGTCCCGCATAAACTGGAAGGCGACCATACGCGTGCCCGAATAGATGACGTGACGAGTTAGGCCGGCGCTCATCCCTTGCCATAACTTAAACGGCCCCTCCTCCTTAACGATACCGAAAGCGGTTCGTAGCATTCCCCTATAATGGGGCTGCAAAGTACTTTGATTATTATCGCGAGCTCAACAGGACGTACATACAGAGGCATTTTGCGATCCCGCTTTGCTCGCTTCACCTTGTATTTGAAGTCGTGTTTTTGTTAAATCTAAGGGATATGTCACTGTAAAAAAAAAAAGAAGTTAGATGGTTATTTTTAGGTGAAGGTGCTTTATGGAACTGTTTGTGTTGTGAGATCAAATATTTATCTTCAGATTTATATTGTATATTATTAGAGTGTGTGTTACGACATGACGTAATGTAAACATTAGTTCAAACAATAGGAGCTCGCGCGTCATTACATGGGAATACCGAAAGTAACGTTTTTAGGTACGCAGCTCGAACTAAGTGGCTATTGCGATCATCGTTTTTCATTTTTGCTTAGAAAAGATAACAGTTTCAGGGGCTGATTTACAGGAGTTTAACTGCACCTGTATAAGCGAGGCGAATTGGGGTGTAGCCGAGGGTGGGTAAATTTTTTTGTGAGTTGCGACTAGGCAGTTCCATAATCTTATATTTGTATATCACTTAATTAATGTATACAGGGTCATTCTTGACGAGTGTCAGTTAGAAAGATATGGAAAACCTTTGAAAATGAAAATAAACTGATAAGTTTTTTAAGGGTCTTGGCACATGATGAATTGAACTAAAATATTTTCAAGATGGCGCCACTTCCGGAAATACCGGACGTAGCCATCAACTTTGTTATTTTAAATAGGGACCCCCTATTTTCGGATTCTACGTCGAATTTGGAGTACAACGATACCCCATAGTTGACCGTTTGCTCCAAGGGATTCGTCGATATTCAAGTTTTTATGTCAAAAATGGAATTTGCAGGGGTCATTTTAAAAATTTATTATTCGAAAACGGTGAGAGATATTGCAAAACAGTTTTCAATGCTTTATTAAGGAAAGATCGAATCTTCTTATGGTATGCGTAACAGTCTAAAAAAGTGAGACTACGTCACTTTTTCAAAGCTTTCAATTTTTAAATTTTTAAATTTCGGTAACTCCATTTTTTTAAATTGCAATATCTCTCACCGTTGTCGAATAATACATTTTTAAAATGACCCCTACAAATTCAATTTTTGACATAGAAACTTGAATATCGACGAAGCCATTGGAGCAAAGGGTCAACTATGGGGTATCGTTATACTCCAAATTCGACGTAGAATCCGAAAATGTAGAAAAAATAGGGGGCCCCTATGTAAAATAACAAAGTTGATGGCTACTTCCGGTATTTCCGGAAGTGGCGCCATCTTGAAAATATTTTAGTTCAATTCATCATGTGCCAAAACCCGTAAAGAACTTATCAGTTTATTTTCATTTTCAAAGGTTTTCCATATCTTTCTAACTGACGCTCGTCAAGAATGACCCTGTATACAGGATGTCCCAGCATTTAATCTCTACTATTTTAAGCGATGCATGAGAAGTAAATACAATAAAAGGAAAGGGCTGGCTCTCAACAGATGCTAAGGTACGGAAAAGTTGTTTTGAAGAAACCCATTTTTATGTAATTAGTTAACCATATTTATACCTACTACTTATGTATTTGTTAATTACCTAATTGCATTTGTTACAATATTTTTGTAATGCAGGCGAAGTTTTGGGGTATTTATACATCTACGTATTTACAATCAATACCGTTAAACAATTGGGATTAGCACGGGTAGACTATCTACCTATCCACACTAATTGACAAATATGGTCGACGGCCGAAGGAATTGAAGTGGGCAAGACTTATCCATGTTTCAATTAACTGTCAACCCTCCCCAAAGCCAATAAACGAAAGCACCTTTTATAAACAGTATAGTTTTACACAACATCCTGTATATGAATATAGTCCAAAGGTTATGCAACCCAACGAGCACCACTTTATGGGTTGTTGCAGATAGTTCAGTAAATCATGTTTATCGAGTAATTTGAAAATGCGAAAATTATTATAAACTGCAATGTATATAGCTTCACAGATACTTGACAATAGTTACGCACAATTTGTTGTGTGCTTTACTATCAGATTAGTTCCGCTTGAAGTAGCAGCAATGATAAGATTTAGGTATTATATAACTGAATCGGTGCGAAATACGCTAAAATAACCGAAATGTGTTAAAAATAAATTTCAAAAATAGATTTTATGTAACAGCATTGCCCAACAATGCTAAATAATGTTTACGTTAGACATACTTTTCCTGTGGGAGTCTCCCAGAATTATAAAAAAATCCCTCATTATGAGTGATAAAAACCGCGTCGTCACTCCACCACAACGGAAGCCCAGGAAGTCAACTTCCTGGCTGCGTTATCATCGCACAAATACACAACGGGTAACCTACCGAATTCGGCAACCCATGCTGCCATGACGGATACAATGTACGAGACCCATAACGAATCGGTGCGAATAACAGGAACTACTTTTATGGCATGAATCTCTTCGTGAGGTGGTGAAGTTTGAGGCATCTCTCACTCCTAAAATACAATCCGGATAAACATTGCATAGTGCAGATGAAGGAAAAAAGGTTTAACAAAACATAGGGATATTTGGCAACCTTGCAAAATGATGATAATTAAAAGTGCGATTATGTAATTAATGGAGGAGGACGAATGTCGATAGTAAAATCTTACCGTTAATCGTTTCATAATTAAATTTAAGTCAAACGAATCGAAAAAGGGGTAGAAGTACGAGTACTTCCAAATGTCACATTCTGCACATGTGTTAGACTTGACAACGTCGCTGCGTAGGAAAGTAGTTGGGGTTAACAATTAATAGAAATTATTTATTAAAATTCGAAGCAATTCAAATTCGCGTGGTCGTCTTTTATACTTTGCCTTATCTTTTGACGTCTCAACCTTTGCCATCAAATTTTGAAGATAAATTTTACAGATAATTCAAGGTAATTCCATGCGCAGTGGTTAGTATTTTTAATGGATGCTAGTGGGAGTGTTCTTCAACATTGGGCAGTAGACAAAAAGTGATAAAAATTCGAAACGTTCCCCCAATTTAATCAGCGTCCAAAATCTCGTTTTCGCCCCCCCAATTTCGAGAGGCCGCGAAGGGGTAAAAAGTGCGTGAAAAGACAGTCGTTAAAATGTCAATGTGTTGACATCTTTTGTGCAGTGCAGTTTTTCAATTTCTGTGATTTTAAGAAGATAAACACGATGGAAGCGATAGCGAAACACGAATTTAACGCAACGGCGGACGACGAGCTGAGTTTCAAACGGTCACAAGTCTTAAAGGTAGGCCGATCACCTTCGGTCGATAGTCCCTCATTTTTTTCTTTCGCAGATCCTGAACATGGAAGACGATGCGAACTGGTTTCGGGCCGAACTCGACGGAAAGGAGGGTTTAATTCCGAGTAACTATATCGAAATGAAAATTCATCCGTGAGTATTATAGAATTAGGTTATGTAATTTAGAATTCTATAATTAATCGAATTTACGAGGTCAGAGACTTGCAGTTTTATTGAAAATTTGCCAAATAAATCGGATAACACTTACGTTTTTTTAGCTGGTACTACGGTAGAATAACCAGGGCGGACGCGGAAAAATTGTTATTAAATAAACATGAAGGGGCCTTTTTAATTCGTATAAGCGAGTCTTCTCCCGGAGATTTTTCGTTATCTGTTAAGTAAGTACCTTTGTTCTCAATACTATTTAAATTTATGTGTGATGTATTACATCTTTCGATTACGTTTAATATTAAAATTACAAGCGGCATTGTTAAGTATACTTGAAATGTTTTTTATTGATCGTTAGTGTTTTTGTTAACCTTGATTTTATTATCTATTCCCTTAGTAAACAAGCTTTACTTCGTTCGCATGACATATAATTTAACACCACTTACCGATTTAATTATAGCAAATTAAAGGGAATTTGAAGGCACATCACACTTGACGTAAAAACTTGTTTAAATTAAATGTTTGACTTCACAATGTGATACGGCGCTTGTATATTTCTGTTAATTGAATTGGTAATCTGGTACAGGGTAATTCATAAAACAAAATGCCTTCTTGCTGTACACTGAACTTGCATAACAAATTGTCATTGGTTTAAAATGTCACAGTTCACATAATGTGGTCCTGTAGTCCTGTGTTTGCCAAGTAAAACTGTTCTAATCTCCTTTGCTGTTTCTACTGTTTAGACATTCCACCTTTTTAATCAAGAGAGCGCTATGTTGTCTGAAGAGTATTGTTTTCATCTGGTTCTCTAGGTTGTTTTTCTCAAAGCCCCGTCCAGTGGGTCAATTTTGTCTTTTTTAAATTAGTATAATGTACTTTCTCTTTCAGTTGCCCACTGATAATAACAGCTGAAATGCCTTCAGTGTATTAATATACAGGGTGTTTTTTTGGGAGCTTTAGTTAAACGTTGCTGGGAAAGTAAAATAGGTAGGTTTTTGAAAATTTGTACTTAAGAGTTACTCTGAAGACCGAATCGATGTAAAATATTTTCAAAATGGCCAAACTTTCGGAAATACCGGAAGTAGATAGTAACTTCGTTATATTAAATGGCAACCCCCTATTTTTTATTGCATTTTTCGATTCTACGTAAAATTTCAGGTCTTTTGATACCCACATGTCCATATCTGCCATTTATGGTTTTTAAGTTATTTTGACTTTATGAAAAAAATGGCGGATGCAGATGGTACCTTGATAATTGATTACTTGAAAACGGTTATAGTCATGGCAACCCATTTTTATCAGTGCATAGAGAATGAATAGGGCTTTCTTTTAGTGTACTTAAAAAAAGTTAAGTTGCATACAACCGCTCCTATGGAGATCCAAATTTAAGAAACTTCAAAGTCCAAAAACTCAGTTTTTTTAAATGGAATGACCATGTTCTTACTATTGCATGAGATAGAGAATCGAAATTGGAATATTTTGATATTACATGTTCCTATAGCTATCTTTAACATTTTCTAATTTATTCCCATTTCATTGAATTGATGCCATTTTTTTTCGCATTTTCATTTTAGTAGTTTGCCATGATTTTATAACAATCGAATTTTAAACAAATCAAGGAAAGGATACTTTAATATCATTGATTCTAGTCTGAATAAGTCATTTATTAAGGATATAGGACGGAAAATTTATTTGAAATCTAGACAGAGTCATTCAACTGAATTTCTTAAACAACGTATAAGTCTGAAAATTCAGAGAGATAATGCGATATCTGTTCTAGCAACAATTCCATACAAAAAATGTTTCAACGAAGTTTTTTATATTTTACATTGAATTTATTTTGTTAATCTCGCATTTGCAATTCAATTCATTTTCTTAAATATTCTCTTGTAGAGCTTTGTATCACTTGTGCTTCAACGGTTTGTAGTGCATTTGGGGATACAACATTTCCAAAATTCATACAATTTCGTTCCAGTGTTCAAATGAATGTACGGCAAGCATGTGTCGCGATTCTGTCCATTTCACCATAAATAACAATTAAATTCCAAAATAGGTGAAACCACTGCGAGTCATTTTTCGATTTTTGAAAAACTTATGTTAACCTATAACAGTAGGTGACGGATTAGTGTCACTAGAATTGTTTAAAATTCGATTGTTATAAAATCATGGCCGACTACTAAAAAGAAAATTCGAAAAAAATAGTGTCAATTCAATAAAATGGGAATAAGTCAGAAACTGTTAAAGATAGCTATCGGAACATGTATTGTCAAAATATGCCCATTTTGATTCTTTATCTCATGCAATATTAAGAAAATGGTGATTCCATTTAAAAAATTGAGTTTTTAGTCTTTGAAGTTTCATAAATTTGGATCTCCATAGGGGCGGTCTTACGCAACTCAATTTTTTTGTAAGTACACTAAAAGAAAGCTGTATTCATTCTATATGCACTGATAAAAGTAGGTTGCCATGACTAGGGCTGGGCGATTACGGGTTTGAATAATCGATAATCGATTATGAAAAATAATCGATTACACTGATTAATCGATTAATCAAATAATCGATTAATCAAATAATCGATTAATCAAATAATCGATTAATCAAATAATCGATTAATCAAATAATCGTTTAATTAAATAATCGATTAATCAAATAATCGATTAATCAAATAATCGATTAATCAAATCATCGATTAATCACCTAATCGTTTAATCAAAAGTCGATTGTCACATACAAGGAGTAATAAATATCAGTTTGTATGCATTAATACGTTAATTATTTAATAATAAAAATAAAAAATAATTCCATTACTGTTTTCATCAAATCGTCCATTACTAGGCAGATCGATTAATCTATAATCAACAAAGTGTCCCTGGTTCGAATCCGGGTTCGGGTATGGATATTTGCAAATGCATAGTGGGTTGGTTGGTAGAACAGCCTTGGCTGAAACCCTGCCGATTTGAAAATGAAGGTCAAAAATAAAAATAAATAAATAAAAATAAATGATTAGGCAGCTTACTCTCCGATGAGGTGTGCTTTAGTTTTGATGATACAATCTTAATTCATTTTAGCTGCTTAAAGTGACGTTTTAACATCCGCTATAAAATAAAATAATACTTGTGAGCTGTGAGTGCTCCTTTTTGCGTAAACTGATGATCCAGCTAATAATAATCAATTAAAATTTACTTAATTGATTAATCAAACAATCGATTAATCAAATAACCGATTAATCAAATAATCGATTAATCAAACAATCGATTAATCAAATAGCCTATTAATCAAATAATCGATTAATCGATTAATTTAATAGAATAATCAAACCCGATTATCGATTATCGTTTGATTATAATCGATTAATCGATTTTTTTGCCCAACGCTAGCCATGACTACAACCGTTTTCAAGTAATCAATTATCAAGGTACCATCTGCATCCGCCATTTTTTTTCTTAAAGTCAAAATAACTTAAAAACCATAAATGGCAGATATCGACATATGGGTATCCAAAGAACTGAAATTTCACGTAGAATCCAAAAACCCAATAAAAAATTGGGGTTGCTATTTAAAATAACGAAGTTACTATGTACTTTCGGTGTTTACGGAAGTGCGGCCATTTTGAAAATATTTTACATCGATTCGGCCTTCAGCGTAACTCCTAAGTACAAATTTTCAAAAACCTACCTATTTTACTTTCCCAGAAACGTTTAACTAAAGCTCTCAAAAAAACACCCAGTATGTTTTCTTGAAACTTCAACAGCGTTAGCAGATTGATTTTGATTCTTGGTAGATTATTTCACAAATTTTGCTTTTCATATTTCCTCTGTAGTGATTTCGGAGTTGTAACATGGCACGAATGGGGGTCATTCTGAAAATTCCAAAGAAACACAAATTTTCACTTAACACCTGACGAAAAAAAATCTGACAAAAACTCTTATTTGAGTTGCACAATGGCTTCGAATAAACATAATTAATTGAATGACCATTAAAATAAGAAATCATAATTATTTACAGTTTTTTTAAATAACTCAAATAATCTGCGCACCTGATTCGCACAGAAACGCTGACAGCTTCTGGAAACTGAAGTTGATGACAAATTTCCAGTAGCTATAAGACGGTATAATATTTTAATTTTAATAAGAAATGAACCCTTACAAAAGGTCTCGCTGTGAACTGCAACTGCTTACTTTTTCAACTCGCAGGGTTGGCAAAAATCTGGGTTTTTGTATGCTTTGGGTGGGGTTTTGGGTATTTGTGTTGGGTTTTTGTGTTTTTCTTGGGTATTTGTCGAATTTCCGTAACTCTTAACTTCAAATTATAGAAAAATAACATTAATTTTGAACTTAGACTGCCCGATAAAGTAGAAAAGCTTGTAAAAATAATAAAAATGAGCCACTTTAAAAAAGAGAAAAAGTTGTTTTAGGTTTTTAATTATTATTTTTATTTTATTTTGTTCCTAATGTTTATTTTATTTTGTTCCTAATGAATAAGCCGTTTCGTATTTTATATTTTAATGTAATTTTTTTTGAAACTAGAAATAAGAATGTAAGACTGATCTATCAGTACCTGTCTGTTTCCAAGTAAACTACATTATATTTTGTTATTAAATACTATATAAAAATTATCTCGATTTTGTCTCATTTTGTGTCTCAAATTCTTAGGGCTTTTGTATGGGTTTTTGTGTTGGGTTTTTGTATAGGTCGTTGGGTGGGTTTTGACACAAAAACTCTGTGGGTTTTTTAAATGGGTTTTTCGTTTTGCCAACCCTGTCAACTCGACAAAACTTTTTCCGAAATTATGTGTTAAATGCAACTTCTTCACAAATTTATTATAAAAATGATGAACTGCGTCTTTATAACTAAAGAAATAGGACTGACTGCCCGAGATTTAGCGTAAACAAATTTACACGCTCTTGAACCGTCGGGAAACTCAGCATCCCCGTTTTGTAATCTCCAATGTTTAAAGAAACGCCACCTCCACCATAAAATAAACTTCTTTGTGAATGTTTAAATAAATCGCCAAGCGCACCTGAACGCGCCAAACGTCTCCACTTTTGCCGACATGAAACGCGCAATAACTTGAGACAGTGTCGTTTACTCGTTATTCAACCTATTTAAGCAAAATCCACCTCTTAATACAATCATTATCGTTATACCCGACGACACTCGAAATTCCACCAGAACTGATAAAACACCTGCATCGCTTATCCCGCACGTGACATTGTTTGTCGAAAAACTAACTAATTCTTGTCCGATAACCACTTTTTATCAACACCTCGCCCGATAAAACTCACAAATACAAGAAATATAATTAAATGAATAAATAATTTTCCAATTCAGTGTCATTTGAAATGAAAAATGTCGAGGTCTTATGGAATAACTCGAATTATGTTACATACAGGCTGTCCTATGTCCTTGTTGCTATTTCCGATATTCAAAAGATGGCTCGCTCTCATCTTTGGGTTTGTTTCTACCTAGAGAAGCGACAGCCTGACTCGATCTCTTTCACAAAGGGCTTCAGCTACCAAAATTTTGTGTTGTGGCATTTGTTTGTTGCTCTCAGATTAGAAAGAGAACTTATTTACAGCATGGAACGCCCTTGGCAATGAAAAACCGTTCTCGCCAATTTAAATACAGGGTGTTCCAATTGGAAATTTCGTATTCGGTCATCCGCTATAAGTGAGAGGGCATTTTTTAATCGCTACAGTAGCGCACTTAAACTAGCTACATCTTCTCTATTAACACTCCTTAATTAATTAATTGTAATAATCATGACGTTACAGATGTTCGGACGGCGTACAACATTTCAAAGTCCTGAGGGACGCGCAAGGGAAATTCTTTTTATGGGTAGTAAAGTTTAATTCGCTAAACGAACTCGTCGAGTACCATCGCACCGCTTCCGTTTCGCATTCTCAAGATGTCAAATTGAGGGACATGGTCACCGAGGAGGTAAGCAAAGTAAGCGTGATGTTTCATCTGCGATTTAATTCCGTTTCGAACAGTGTCTAGTGCAAGCCCTCTACGACTTCACGCCCCAAGAGGCGGGCGAGTTAGAGTTCAAACGCGGCGACGTAATAACGGTGACGGATCGTACGGACCAGCACTGGTGGCACGGCGAGATCGGTCACAATCGTGGACTTTTCCCCGCCACGTACGTTACCCCGTATCATACATAAAAAATAGTTGTCCTTTAAAACAGTTCAGCATTCTTGTGGTCAGTTTTGACGAAGGAAGTATTTTTTACAGTTTTTTATGTATTAATTACTCTCGCTTACATTTTGTGATTAGCAACGGTTTAATATGCATATATTCTTTGTTGTTAAACCATTTGTGTGTCGAATACTTGGAGACGTTTAGTGAAAATATTTGTGACCAAATTACGTTTAGCAAATAATCCGCGCTGTACGATAATATGATTGGTGGTTATAATACTTTTAGGTTAAAACATTGCTCATTATTTCACGCTTTGTGACTTAGTAAATTATATTTAAAAGAAAAAAAAAAGATAAAATAGTCTCTGCATATTTTTGTAACTTAACTTTCCTATTACTACTTATATTGAGTGATCCTGAAAAATGGTTGTAAACTGAGACGTTTTCCCCGAACTTGCCACGACAAATGCACGTTTTTGTTTTAAAGACTGATGGACATTACCGGCCATTTTCCGAGATCACATCATATATAATTTAGATAGTGTGTAATTGATCGTGAAGGCTGGACGGCGCCACGATATATCCATGTTACACAAATTTTATATCTGATGACGTAAATGTCGTAAATTATCCAATGGGAAACACAGTACGGTGTTGTGAAATGATCGTTGGTTTGAGCAAAATCAAATATTTAATTGTCAACTTAAATAAATTTTGTATTGTTTGCATTGAGCAATAACATAATTTACAACGAACGTTTCTTACTCTGTGGCGATTTTATCTTTTTGGTAATAAAAATGCATTCGATATTTCATCAAGATATAATGATACAGAATTTATTTATAACGAAACCATATAAAGGGGTCTACGGAATATACTCAAATATAATTGACATTGTTGCATTTTTTTAATTTACAAAATTAGCTTTTACGCGATGCCATTTTTATAGTTACTTTATAGTGTACATTTTATTTTAGTTTTTGAAAAATATTTACGATTGTTATTTGATCTTTAATTATGTTTATAGGACGTTTTAAAAATGTAATACAATGGAAATTATTCATTTTTTTTTTGTCATATGCGTTACATACTTACGCTTTTGTATGCATTTTCTTTACCAAGATTTGCTTATTTATAAGATTATGTAAATACTAACATAGGGTTATGTAACTATTATCATTAAGTGCGAGCTATTTAGTAAAATATATGTTATGAAGAACACAAACTTATGTTTTATATTAGTTTTTCGTTGTTATATTTGTAGTGCTTTGAATATTTAAGTTTAAGTATTCAGTGCGCAACACACTAGGGGTCTGTACTGCATGTCATGTCATTTGACATAATCGTCCGTTACGTTAGTAACAGTGCGGCGCCCCAATAACCAACCGTACACGTGCTAGGCGAATGAATAGGTCAAGTGACGTCACACGCTGAAACGAAATTATTTTTCCAAGCGCAAATTTAAAATTTTGTAACTTTATGATTTGTGGAATTATTTGCAAATACTTATTTTACGATCTACCAGTGGCGAGTAGATATACAGGGCAGAACCTGGCTCGGTTTAAGGTCGCTCCTCCCCTGATAGTGACTTTGGAAAGTATGTCAAGGTGAAAGTCACGGGGCTGTGACGTTGTAGCTGAAGTGTATTTACCTTTAAGGTCATCGTAGATCAATTTGTAATTCATCAATTTTTATTTTCAAGGTTATCAAAGTTCGACAACCTCATTTTGTCCTACCTTCTTTCATTTTCAAAGTTATAGGTCCAATTTTTGTGGTGTCATTTCAATTTCAAGGTTATCAACATTCAATTACCGTCAATTTTTGGACGTGTAATCCATTTTCAAGTTCATCAGAGGGTAATGGTTTTATTTTTGTGGTGTAGTATTCCCAGTGCGCTTAACGTATCTGAGGTGTTGTCGACACAGTATGCAACACACAATGCACCGCGGGGCAAAAATCGCTGAGATGATATGCAATATAATGAAATAAGCTGTTATTTTAGATGTTCCGTTCATTAATCATTCTTGTGATTAGCTCGAATTAGTGAACAGATAAATTTCTGTTGAGAATAAACCAATAAACTTAGGATAACTTGTGCCTATCAACATGTACTCTGTCGATAAATTTTTAAATAATATGCTGATTCTCAACGGATGAAAGTTTAAAGGACCAATGGATCAGAGCCATTCGAAGAGAAAAATGTACTCCCACCATAGTGTATTTGCGGGGAATGAAGCCGATTTTAGAAAGGTACCTACGAAGGTGTTAAACAATAATGCAATACCGAGCGTTTTCGACTTTCCCATTCACTTAAAATAACGTAGATCTATTATTCGACATCCTTTACCAGCAAGACAACGGCAATACCTATTTGCCTATTAGGTATAGACGTAACTAACTACTTACTGGTACTAAGTATATTTCAGGTTTTGTTACAAGAAAAATAGCTAAGTCTAAATGTTCCATATGTGCAGATGCGATATTCGCATCAGAGAGTCATTCAAAGCTTTTAACTAGAAAAAATCGTGGAGGATTGTTGCACGTATCAAGCGATGCATTAAAAATTTGCCAAATTGCTGAAAATATGTTCAGGTTTTTCATTCAATCCACACCACACCGCGTTGTAAACAAAATGGTTATCAGCAGTCTAAGAAAAATAAATAAGTAACAGCCCATTTGGGTTTTTGGATAGGCATATATTGAATCAAAATCCGCTAAATAATTATATCTTACTACTATCATCTTTAGTTTTAAGAGTATATTTTCCCATACGTGTTCACCACCAAAATACACATATAAATCAAATTAGGACTAGAGTAAGGCAGATATATACCAATTTAGTTCAAATAAAATACCAATAAATTCGATTAAAACAGTTAACAGCTATATGTTATCTTTTTTTGCTACTAAAATTTAGAATAAACACGGCTAAAGCAAGCTGCAGAACGTACGTCTGCCCCGCGATGAACAGTTGGTTGCCTATCCTATCTTGACAACAGGCTTTTATAATAAAATCTACGTTACGCGCGGTCTAGTTATAACAAGTCTCTGAGTATTCCATTTTCAAGGCTATTAAAGTTCAATGATCACCATTTTATTGCGGGGTAATATTCAATTTTCAGGGTCAACAAGCGACTTTGAGGATACGCTTCGCCGAAGTGGTGTAGGTGTAAGGGGAATTCGTTTATGGTCTGAGCTATGATGCGCTGCGCTTCCATGCTGATGGGTCTGATGTTTGGCCGAACCTGTCTGCAGTTTTTTAAGCGTTCTCGCGTGATGATTAGTTAGGGAACTCCGGCGCGGATTTGATTGATTTAAGCAATAACAAGGAGTAAGAATAGAGTACCTATCGTTTAAATTCATCAGCACATTAGCACCATACACTTTCTTTAACCACCTATACACTTTTTTTCTGTTTAAAATGAACATTCCAATTTTTTACGGCTTTGAGGTCTGCATTGAATTCAATACTAATATCCATAGTATCTAACTGGGATGCCTGCTCGATTCAATGCGACTAAGGCCCGTTTTTTCCAAAATTCCATCGATACCGTTGGTGATAATCGAATATTGATGTATAACTTGTACTTCACCCTATACATCGAATCGTCATGTATGTACTGGTGACATTTGTATTACCAACCTGACCGTGGAAAAGTTTCTCTTTGTATATCTCCCTTTGGCGTCTGCACGCGTAAGTGTATTTTGATTTAATTTCTTCAAATTATCTCAATAATCTGCCTAAAATGACCAAAAACGCATTTAGGATAATTACGATAGGGCTCAATGAGATTAATTTTTGCTGATATTTTAGTTTAAATTTAATTTAAGGTTATGGCAGACCCATGTTTCACGTTTGAAATGGTGTTTGTTGTAGGTATTCGTAACTCACATAAACGTAAGCAATGTCGGGAGGTTTAGACGTACTGACCCTCAAGGAGGATGATGTGACAAAAATGTTAGCTGCATGCACCCATGTGGGTAGCACCAACGTCGACTTCCAAATGGAACAGTAAGTGAACACTACCATTCCCTCACTAACAGCTTTTGTAGGTATGTATACAAACGAAAAGGCGACGGTGTACATATTATCAACTTACGTCGCACTTGGGAAAAGCTGTTGTTGGCTGCTAGGGCTATAGTCGCGATCGAACATCCCAGCGAGGTGTTTGCCATTTCGTGCAAGTCGTACGGGCAACGTGCCGTTTTGAAGTTCGCCGCACATACGGGTGCCACACCAATCGCAGGTCGTTTCACTCCCGGTGCTTTCACAAATCAAATTCAAGCCGCCTTCCGCGAACCACGTCTGTTAATTATCACCGATCCTGCATTTGACCATCAACCTGTAACTGAAGCCTCCTACGTTAATATTCCAGTTATTGCATTCTGTAATACCGACTCGCCTTTACGGTTTGTCGATATTGCAATTCCATGCAATAACAAAGCTCCTCACAGTATCGGTTTAATGTGGTGGCTTCTTGCACGTGAGGTTCGTAAATCTTATTACTTTTGCTTTTAGTTGCTCATGTTTTCAATGATGACACAATTTGTTCCTTATTATCATGATTTAACGTGATTGTTCAAATTTTTCCACCTGACTAATGCATATCCTAGTCTATTAACATGCAGTGTAAGCATTTGGATTCTTAACGACTGTTTGTAGGTCCTTCGATTGAAGGGACAAATTCCACGTGAAGGCAAGTGGGATATTGTCGTCGACTTGTACTTCTATAGGGAACCTGAGGAGGCCGAGAAGGAAGAACAAGCCGTGAAAGAAATTGTTGCTCCCAAGCCTGAACCAATTCCTCGTGAAACGACCGAAATTGAGTCCTGGAACGAACCACCAACTTGGGAAGAACCATCAATTCCATTGCCACCGGCGCCCACATCTACATTCGCTCCTGCAACTGAAAATTGGGCCAACGAAGTTGACGAATGGGATGCTAACACGCAACCCCAAGGTGGACAGCCTAACTGGGCTTCGACCACAGACTGGAACAAGTCTTAGTTTTAACAGTTTTACAAATAAAATTGTTTTTTGACTAATTGTTCTTTTGTTTTGCCAATTCTGGACTTTCTCATACAAAACAGCCTCCTGTATTGGTGGGTTTATACAATCATTGGTTCACATTTTAAAAGTATATATTCAAATTTTGAAGCCATTAACTCTACGTACGACATTTAATTAAATTTAAAATGATGTAAATAAGTAATAAATTACGGAAGGCACTAAAATTAAAAAAAATGTTCTGACATCTAACGTTAGTTTCTTAAACTGAACTCTTTACATTTGTCGTAAATATAGTGCTACTTGTTACCAATAAATGCAGGGTCCTTAATTATAACCATCATTATGTTGTATTACATTCACACAGGTGTCGCTACCCTCTAACAAAACTGCAGGGAGTCACAATGGAATTTGATTCAACAAAATAACATTAGATGTCGGTACGATATATATTTTAAAATTTTAGGGCTACAGCATTGAATAAAAAATTATTCAATGGCTACAGTAAAAAAACAGACAGCTTGTAATTTTGCTACTTTTAGGCAGTACAAGTATAGTATAATTAGCCGCTGTGTAATGCATTGTCGTTTCATGTCTCCAACAATTGGTATGGGATTACGCGCGGAGATAATGAATGCTTTCGTATTATAAAATCGCTCTTTTAAATATTTGAAGCATTTTAAATTTAATTAGATGGCGTACGTAGGGATAATGTTTTCTTGTTTCGTGTGTACACCAGAGCTGGACAGAATAATTTCAAAAAGTATTTGAATACTAAATACTTCTACGTCCAGCACAAGCGAATACTAGATACAGATACATTGAAAAGTATACAAATACTTAAAACAATCAGTATTCAAATACTTTAGAATGTATTCGAATACTTTCAAAAGTATTCGAATACTTTCAAAGGTATTCGAATACTATAAAAAGTATTCGAATACTTTGAAAAGTATTTCATTATCTTACTTTGAAAAGTATTCGAATACAGTAAAAAGTATTCAAATACTTGTCACTCAAATACATTAAAAATTTAAAATAGTATACTAGGCTTAATACTATTTAAAAAATTAAGTTATACTTTGTATGGGGTTACCTTTTTTCATATTTCTATTGTTATATACAAACTTAAGGGGAATAAAAGCGTATTATTATTATATTATTACATAGGAGGTACTTACCAGGACCTTTCTTATACCAGTTATATTCTTAAGAATACGTGTACCAGTTTTCAAAGCGATCGTACGTCGTGCACATGTACGCATTTCTGAAATTAATCCTAGCGATTTTGAAACATTTTCCTATTAGAATTTGGCCCGTAGAATCCATAATTTCCAACAGTTCCAAGATTGGGCTAGTAGTTCAAAAGTTACAGCCCTTTGAATTTTTTTTCGAAATTGGTTTCTAGTCTATAACTTTTGATTGAGAAGTCTGATCGAAAAAGTACGAATTGTTTTGGATTCCACGCACCAAAATTAATAAGAAAAAGTGTTTTCCCGAGAAATTTTGGTGCAGTCGATTTTTGGTAAAAAAGGAAGGTTATACACTGCCTTTTTTTGAGGCCCGAAAAAAAAATTGTCTCAGATCGACCCGGAAAAAAAATTTTCTTATAGAATAGGGCCTGTAGAATCCATAATTTCAAACAGTTCCAAGATTGGGCTACTAGTTCAAAAGTTACAACCCTTTGAATTTTCTTTCGAAATTGGTTTCTAGTCTATAACTTTTGATTGAGAAGTCTGATCGAAAAAGTACGAAATGTTTTGGATTCTACGCACCAAAATTAATAAGAAAAAGTGTTTTCCCGAGAAATTTTGGTGCAGTCGATTTTTGGTAAAAAAGGAAGGTTGTACACTGCCTTTTTTTGAGGCCCGAAGAAAAAATTGTCTCAGATCGACCCGGAAAAAAATTTTCTTATAGAATGTGACCTGTAGAATCCATAATTTCAAACAGTTCCAAGTTTGGGCTACTAGTTCAAAAGTTACAGCCCTTTGAATTTTCTTTCGAAATTGGTTTCTAGTCTATAACTTTTGATTGAGAAGTCTGATCGAAAAAGAACGAATTGTTTTGGATTCTACGCACCAAAATTAATAAGAAAAAGTGTTTTCCCGAGAAATTTTGGTGCAGTCGATTTTTGGAAAAAAGGAAGATTATACCAAAGAGTAACTATACTCTTTGATTATACACTGCCCTTTTTTTGCCCCGAAAAAAAAAATTGTCTCAGATTGTCCTGGGAAAAAAGTGTTCTTATAGAACGTGGCTTTGTAGAATCCATAATTTCAAACAGTTCCAAGATTGGGCTACTAGTTCAAAAGTTACAGCTAGGGAATGCAATCCCGCAGCAAAATCTCAATCCCGGTATTTGCGGGATCGTTAGATGTTAATCCCGCGGGAACCCGGTATTTGCAGGATCCCGCAAAATTTTAAATAAATTGGTAAATAAGCAATTTCATGCGGTTAACTTCTGTATTAAAATAAATCGCTAATTATCACAATATTTAACAAAAAAGTACCTTCAGGCTAACTTAGAACTCAAAAAAATCACCTGTAAAGTGTAAAGCATAAATAGGTGAACTTCTAAAGTGCCTCAAAGTTTAACAATTATTTTAAAAATAATTTCTCCGTTATGCGTTTCATTAACAAAGCAAACAGAGTCGTCCCCTTGGTCAACATTAAGGATGAGTGTACCCTTATTTGAAAGATTACCCCAAACATTTGAAGGGTTAATTACCAATGAAGACACTATTTGACAATGTGTGTCTGAAAACACCACTACAACCAGACAACCAAATACCAATATACTCGTAAATATTTATTGCTCGATTTATTGTTTATGTAATTTATTCTTTCAACAGTAACTAATATACCTATAATCATTGATTATACACACCTATAATCAATGATATAATCAAAAGTTTACTGGTTTACTCAAATATTCAGCTTTTTCAGATAAGTACAACAGCAAAATGCGAAAAGTAACCATAGAAGGGCGGGATCACTTGGGTATTTAAAGTAAGTCATGTCATTTGTCATGCAGAAATAGAAACATCCCTATTCCACGATTTACGTATTATTTCCATATTATTTCCTTATGATTTGTCTTATGACAGCCATAATACCAAAAATAGAATAGTATGATAAATCACATGAGAAGTATGATAGTGTAAAGGTACCTTTAGGATATAGTTTGAACAATGAACCACCCAAAAAGTAAACCTGGACGAAAACTCCTTGATGCACCACCTAATCTTTGCCATTCCATTAATTATTGTCGTAAAATCAAAACTCACTCTTTTTTCCCGTGCAGTGCATCTCGGACAGCAACGCCTGCCTTTCCAAAGTGGTGCTGGACGAACCCCATCCGTCCATCACTCCCTTTCAAATTTATTGTTTTACATGTAGGAGCATATTTCCATTTTTTCACTTGCACGTTGGATGTTTTAACGTCATACGCCCGGAGCACACACAACCGCTATTATTGGCGATTCATTCGCAAATGATTCACATTGAGGAATAAATAAAATTGTAAGTGCGATATAGATAAAGAGAAACCGGTGCATGTTACTTAACTACATGCCTACATAATCCTTATAGAGGGTGACGCACCTGAAACAATTCGCTCCTAATAAACATATAACCACCGAGTAGTGGGACATGTTTTATAGTGATTTTAATTTGTTTTTTTCTCCACACTTATCTATCTTCACCACGCCCGTCTTTGAAATCCTATATAGTGCCATATCTCCTCCTGGGACACATCAAATAAAAGGGGACCAACAAGAAATCCAAATTCCAAAATCCCGAGCCCGAGCTTATAAGCGTATTCACTGATGCAAATTGAATTCGTCTTGACTAAATAAAATAGAAATAGAGAAATTAAATTATTGTCTTAAGTGACCCCTACAGAAAAAGCAAACAAATTGAATAGGTACCCACCTTAAATTTCCTCTCGAAATATAACCTAAACTAAATAGAATCTTTGTTTCCTCGTTGGTATAGAACGAGTGTCTTTTTGCGGGGATTCCTATAAGCAATAACTTACCTAAAAACCCTATAACATGTCACACTTATATAAAATAGTTCTGGGGTAGTTTAAACGATCCGTGCAGATTATGGCAATTATTGACATTAATTTTTTCGAACCAAATTTTACTGAACATGAATTTTAGGCAGTCGGCTTAGTGCTTAGTGAAAGTCGCATTAGCTACATTAATTAAGGCCTCAGGGCCTCTTAATTTGCATGGATTTACGTTTTATACTCCTACCTAATTACAATAAATTCATCAAATTCAATGCAGGTTTTTGCTTGTTTAAGTAGTCCTTGATACATGGTACAGCATCTAAAACCCCCTCGGATCATTATTCCTTTACCATAAAAATTGTACACAATTACCATGTTTCTAAAATATTTCTGGTCATCAGTGGCCTACTGTATTACACTGGGGTATTAGACTTACGTTTTTCTTAATGGTATTTTTGAAGAATTGGAACGTAATTGAAGAGTACTAATTTTTTCTGTAACATGTTTATACCCTTAACTTTAACGATTTTGCTGTTATAACCTTTACTCCTCAAAATAATACATTTTCGAGAGCAACCAAATCACGCCGGCGCTTAAGTTTTGCATTGAGGCACAGGCTACGGCCTCTTCCCTTTCACATAACCTTTTTCTACTTTTTGGGACACACTACAGGGTGAGTTTTTTTTTCATTTTAAGCATTAGGATTTCGGAAACCGTAAGACATAGAGATTCGGTTAAATGAGAAAGAGTTCCAGTTTTAAGAGCTTATTCAAGATATGCTTTTGTTTTTTGAAAAAAATCCGCAGTTCACTAGATATGAGCGAAAAACAGATTTACATTGGGGGTGGATTTCTATGTGACGCAAGGAGTTGCAAGACATTATTTTTGCAATTGTTTATTGAATATGTACAGCAGTATTTTTCTGCACAAACTAGAAAGTGATAACTACCCGCGTTTTGCCGTATTCGATTTATAAACACATAGGGGGTGGATTTCTATGTGACGCAAGGGGTTATAAGAAATTATTTTTGCAATTGTTTATTGGATATGTACAGCAGTATTTTTCTGCACAAACTAAAAGGTGATAACTACCCGCGTTTTGCCGTATTCGATTTATAAACACATTGGGGGTGGATTTCTATGTGACGCAAGGGGTTGCAAGAAATTATTTTTGCAATTGTTTATTGAATATGTACAGCAGTATTTTTCTGCACAAACTAGAAAGTGATAACTACCCGCGTTTTGCCGTATTCGATTTATAAACACATTGGGGGTGGATTTCTATGTGACGCAAGGGGTTGTAAGAAATTATTTTTGCAATTGTTCATTGGATATGTACAGCAGTATTTTTCTGCACAAACTAAAAAGTGATAACTACCCGCGTTTTGCCGTATTCGATTTATAAACACATTGGGGGTGGATTTCTACGTGGCGCAAGGGGTTGCAAGAAATTATTTTTGCATTGGTTTCTTGGACATGTATACCAGTATTTTTCTGCACAAACTAGAAAGTGACAACTACCCACATTAATTTTATATACACTTTGGGGGTGGATTTCTATGTGACCCCAAAGTTTTAAACAACTAAAACATACACAAACTAAAAAAATAAGTTAATCCTATCGTCAACTATTAATTACAGGACATGGTCCTTATTTTTTAATCAGAACAAACGATGGTAAGGTGTTTCAGATGAAAATGGGACACAGAGGGATACATTTATATTTTATTAATTAAGTATTTTCGAAAGCGGCAATGATTTTTATTATCGCAAAAATGTACGAGCAGGGATTTATTCAATAGCAAATTGACGAAAATAAATTAATTATCCAACACGCGGCAGGTACAAAGAAAACATTGGAACTGAATTTTAGGGGGTGTCTGTCGTATTTCGCTTCGCTAATTACACAACGTGTGCGCGCGATATGGCCGGATGCCTTCAACAATGAGGGTTTCACAATATAATTTTTATCATTATCCACCTGGTTATGCACCTGGTATTTAATACAGGTATTACGTCGATGAGGGTAAAATGCCGTTAAATTTTCAAAAAGTACGGCCATTTTCCGAGCACATTTCGCGCGAGCAGGAACGAAGGTGAATAACACCGGTGAAAAGTGAAAATTATTCATTGTACAAGACAATTTTCCCGAAAAAAATTATTTACTTTCAATCGATTTCGTGGTGGGGAGGCGTTACATGAGCACAAGAACTATTAGTACTGTAGGGGTGGTCGTACTCAATTCAAAACATCTTACACAATATCCTTTATCGTAATTGCGCATTTTTCCGCTCAATTAGTGCGAGTGAGTGCGTCACAAGGAGTTGTTTAAAAAAAAAGGGTGAGTGATTGTCTAAATTTTGCACTAGTTTAGTAAGCTGCGTCTATATTTGCACTGAAGTACAGGTATATGTTATAATAAAGTCGCGTGTGGTGCCTCAATTATTAATATTGGATAGCAGGAACAGGAAATAAAATTCCCGTAAACTTCACCTGAGTATATTTATGGGGTTGTTTCTCATATCCTGTACGTTATAGTACAACAAGAAACTGCTCTAACTCCACAATGATTAAAATTTGGCTCTAATATCCTAATTCAAAGTAGCTGAAGCTTTGATGTCTACAGGGTAAATATCTCAAAGATAATTTTTCCAATTTAACCCCCTCATGTTAAGGTAAAATCAGATTAATCTATTGCGATTCAGCATTTTGTCACGGTCTAAATTCGTTTTATGGCATCACTTTCACTTTTATCTACAAGTAATCAAAACCATGGCGGAGACCTGCCTACCTAAACGGTCCATTATATGTACCTACATGAGAAAAAAAGTCAAAAATTTATATTGGCTGCCGTATTTGGATAGGGAAAATCGGAAATTGCATTTTGTATCTTATTGCACGAAAACCACAATCAAATTTCGTTACAGGATCGCGTGTTGTGGTAGTGTTAATCGCCCATTCTAATACTCCAGCAAAATTTCCTACGAAAAAGTTTCGCTTTGTATCAGATTTTGGTCTCGTATATTATACAATTTCGATTTCAATTTGGGATTTATGTGTCTTCTATTCGATCCACATTTCGTATGGCTTCATTTGTTGCAGACGGTGAAAGCTCTGAATTTCTGTCTCAGCAACGCAGGCAAAAAGCTCGTCCAAGGGTTTGGAGTTGCCTCCAGTCAGCAGAGTAAAAGGTGAACGAGTCGAATTGGTACAATTAAGCATATGAATTTATGACTAGGGGGTCACAGCGGATGAAATTTTTTAATAATTTTTAAGGGGTTTTAGGACACGTTGTAGTATACATGCAGTGAGTAAAAATTTGGAAACAAAACGATGATTCACAACGTTAACCAAACGAAAAGCTATGAATTTGTTGTCCTAGTAATAGCTACAAATAAATAACCTTGGTTAGAACATAGTATCTACAATAAAACATTAAAAAAAAGTATGAATGGTAAATTACAAACAATAGATTCACAAACTACAAGAAAAAATCAAATTTATTAAACGTTAGAGTTGTTATGGTCATGGCCTCAGGGGAAGACGATTGTGATTGGTACTTTATACATTTCCAACACGGTTTCAAATTTTATTAGTGAAATTCTACCACAAATGACTACCTACATTTCGACACCCTACAATATTCAATAATATTGAAAACCCACACGATATAGGTGAAGTTCGATTCTAGACGTCAAAAGTTATAGGTAAAAAATCGTACTGCAATGAAAAAAAGACACAAAAAGCGCCATTACTTTTGATACACTGGTACAATTTTCAAGTTTTTGGGCGATTTGGATTCTACAAGTCAAAATCTAAGAGAATCGCCTTTGTAGGTGAAGATTGCTTCAGCACGTCAGAAGTTATAGGTAAAAAATCGTATTGCAATGAATATAAGACACAGAAAGCGCCATTACTTTTGATACACGGGTACAATTTTCAAGTTTTTGGGCGATTTGGATTCTACAAGTCAAAATCTAAGAGAATCGCCTTTGTAGGTGAAGATTGCTTCAGCACGTCAGAAGTTATAGGTAAAAAATCGTATTGCAATGAATAAAAGACACAGAAAGCGCCATTACTTTCGATACACTGGTACAATTTCCACGTTTTTGGGCGATTTGGATTCTACAAGTCAAAATCTAAGAGAATCGCCTTTGTAGGTGAAGATTGCTTCAGCACGTCAGAAGTTATAGGTAAAAAACCGTATTGCAATGAAAAAAAGACACAGAAAGTGCCATTACTTTTGATACAGGGGTACAATTTTCACGTTTTTGGGCGATTTGGTTTCTACAAGTCAAAATCTAAGAGAATCGCCTTTGCAGGTGAAGATTGCTTCAGCACGTCAAAAGTTATAGGTAAAAAAACTGTATTGCGATGAAGAAGAAACATAGTAAGCCTTTTTGATACACGAGCTTTATTTTTCTGTCAGATTTTTCCAAATTTCCTTTTATATGTTAATTTCAATTAAAAATTTGACTAGTGATTGCATCGGAATTTACGGAATTTGATTCAGGACTTCGTGTCTTTCAGATTTATAAGAATTTCAAGTCAATGTTAGAATTTAACCCAGTCGTGCCCCCAGTTTAAAAAGGAAAAAAACTAAAGGGTGTAATTTAAGCTAGCTAGGTAGGTGTCCTAGTAGGTGTCTGTTGGGTGGTATTACCGCATACCATTCCACACAGCATTATTTTTGAGTGTAATAATAAAGGGAATGATTATATTGGAGAGAGCTTCCCTAAATGATTATTTTTTATTTTTTGCAGCGTCGCTGGGGTCATTTCCCTGACGTTGTATACATTTTTCTTCAAGTTTACAGGGGGTTGTTTTGTAAGGACAGGTTTTTCCAAATTGGTATCCGAAATTGGGGACCAGGGGCCAAAAATTAATGAAAACTCAAACGGACTAAAGTTGAAACTTTTGTTTAAACAATGCAGAAGACAGAAAGTGACAAAAACGATGCGGATAAGGCATTTTGCATATAATACTACAGGACTACACCCCCAAGTTTGGTGTCAAATTTTATTTTTATATATGATTTAATCTACGTAATTGGAATTCACTCCTTAAAGCGCTTTGAATATTTTGCAAGCTAACGCACCGATCTATATTTTGTGGCAATAAACGCGCGACATACATAAACCGCTCTCGCCATCAAGATAAGTTGTTTGTTACCCTTCTTTGTTCCCTATTCACTTCATACCACTTGCGAACTTCCCACAGAACGTCATAACATAGCTCATAAAGCACTCGGCGAAAGACTTTATATTAACTTTATAGGCCCCCTTTGTCCCGACTTATTGTTCGCAGACCATAGTCCAAATTGCTAATAGGTGGGACGGTGAGCTACTATTGATTTGGTATTTAAATTATTCGAGGCAAGACAATAGAATGATATGGGTAGTGTATTCATTATAAGATCGGGTTAATTGGCGAAGACAACACAGTTCATTAAAATCCAACCTAAACCTTTTGGAAGTATCCAATTTCATAGGTTTTTCAGATGTGTAAATGAGATGTGGCGTTCTTTAAGGTAAAGATTAAAAATTGGGTTTGAAGTAACAAAATAAAATTACAAATTTTCAGGAAAGTTGGTTTCAAAACCCCATGACAACATGCCGTTATTAACTTAAAAATAATTTTGAAATTTCAAAATAACAAAATATTTTAGGGCACTTCAAAAGATAGTAAAATAAGATGGGTAGGTATTTTATTTGGCTTCGGTACCTGAAATAACGATGGGACACCCTGTATGTGCATTTCAATTATTTTTAACGTTAAAAGTTGGTCCTAATTCGATATTGTGCGCAAGATCGATCATAATAGATAAATTCCAAGTCAATTTTGCTTTGTTACAGATTGCCTAGTTGTTTTGTTTAAATATTCACTTCGTATTTTATATATTAGTTTCTGTGATTGGCACTTTTGTCGTTATGTAAGCGTATTATTGTAAGACAGTTAGTCTTTATAATCGTAAAGTTCTTGTTACAGAAGAAAGTTAGTTGACTGCTAAGAGTATTAAGAAATTTAAGTCGTCGTGATGTCTTTTATGTACCTACTTCAAGAGTCGATTCACCATTGCCCATTCCTTTACGCTAGGAAAATTAATTAATGACCGCGTTTATTAACAATTCGGCATTTGAACGGCTTTAATTATTTAAAGATTAAGAGTTTTGGGAAAGACGTCAAGAGGATTCTCGATTTTGGCTTTGAGGGGATAGTTTCGGTCCCGAAATAATTGGGAGTTACTTTACAAAAGCGGATAATTGGTCCCTAAAATGCGATTTATCAGTGAGATTTAAAATAATTGGGGATTGACGCACAAATTATTATATGAGATAATGAACTAAACGGAAGCTTTACAATGTCCGCAAAAAGATTGGATTTGGCGCATAAACAAGAAAAAGGAGTTTCAACCTAAGGCTAGTTACTGTTCCCAGCTTTAGGGTGAACATCTTTAATTCTAAGATCTAAGACCTCGAACGGACGGAGAGAGAAAATGCGCTGTAACTCGGTGATTCATTCTCTTCGACCACATTTATAGCTTTTCTTTTACGATCATCACCACAATAAATTGTGGTAGTTTTCCTTTAGCAAAAGCGAGTGTGCAAAGTGAGTTGATGAATTTGTAAATAATTGAGCGTTAGTCATTTGCGTGATAGAGTTTGCTAAAGGTATTTTGTTAGTCATTCCTAGAAGAACCTCGCGTTTACCCGTGAACGTTTTGATGAATAGCTAAACAGATTCGAATTGAGAAAAAGAAAATCGATCCCGTTTGTGGGTAAAATTCCAGTCACCGAAAATGTACACCTTTTGCTTTTAGATTTCTATTGTTTATGGTTAGCGTGATCAATTTACTATCCCCGAGGGTGTCATTGCGACCATTACTTCAACCCTTCAATAATGGGTATATATTTAAATATGTTCGCATAATTGCATTAATGAGATTTCGTAATTAATTTGTGACGTTTTTGGTTAGTTTTGAGACTGAGAATAGTCATTGGGGTATTTTTCGAAAGGATGTTGACTTGGCTCCCATGCGCTCTTACGGCAAATTATTGATCGCTTAATAGTCCTCTGGTCATTTGATGACGTCAGAGCGGTCGAATCGACCATTTCTCCCTTTTTCTCGCAAGCTTACAGCTCCCAGATCGAATTCGAGCGTGTCCAAGTTGACTAATGGCTATTTTTAGTGGTTGCTTTCGTTAGTAATAAGTTTAAATTACATTGGGGTAAGCAGTCTTTTTCTTCTAATGCTTTTAATGAGGATAAGTGAGAATATTGACGCATGAGGTAAAAGCTCACTTTTGCGAAGGGGTTGAGTCACAAATGCACTTTACTGTTAGAATTGGAAATGCGGTTATTTTGGGCACATGATGATTCGCATCCTAGCTGTTCTCTGTTTACTGAACCTACCCTGAAAATGAAAGCACGTGGTGTATAAAAATCGAAGGTCTGAAAGGGGTGATCGCACATTCTTTTCTTGTGAGATGTGGAATTAAGACACGCAAGCACTCCCGTTTTCAAACCGTTCAAGCTCTACTATTTCTTTGGAGATTCTACAAATGGTTAATTTATTTACTCAGAAAAGGTCAAGTTTCGAATCAAATTTTAATGAGTGCGGTGCTCATGTTTGCCGGCACAAGCTTCTATAAGAGTCCATATACTTTTATAATCAAATCTGCATTCGTTTTGTAACTAGAATTGAACGAAACATTCATTTCAGGATGGCCAGTTAAACGTAAAGACTGTGTACTTCGGTATTTTAGAACCATCCATACGGATTTCACAATTTCTTATTAATAGTTAATAAACCTGTCAAATTTCCTCTAATTTTTCTTCTATCCGCTATCGTGATATAGCAGGTACGCACTTTACTTTCCCATGGATAGCACGTACAAAAATATTTTAACTGTGAACGGAGTCTTTGCGGTCATGAGATAGTATATTAAGAGACACCAATTATACACGTGTTTTTATAGTATTTTTTTTATTATACCTGCAATATAATTTAAAAATAAGGAACATGTCCAATTAAGTGAACTTTGTAAATAAAATGATCTTGGCTGAAAAAGATAATAGACCGTCCATTCAATTGCTTGTTGCAAAAGCAGAAGGAAAGTTGGTAGATGCCAAATCCAAATCCAGCAAAATCTGTTCTACAGAATATGAAAAGGTGTTTTCGTTAATGAATAGGGACGAATAAAGTCTTAAATGCATAGATAATGCTGGCGATTAAGAAATGGATAGAGATTTGGTAGCAAAGAAATCCTTTGCATTTACAGAAAGCGACGTAAGGATATTGTTTATATCAGCCCCAGGTGACAGTTTCAGAAGTCATTAGTAACATTACTAAGCAACCCTTAATTCACTTTTGTTTTAAATTTGAGTGCTCAAAACGGAGATTGTAATTCAGGTATAATTAAAAAAAAAGTAACTCCAGTTACCACCTACTACTCTAATTGAGGGAAGTCTTAATACCTTGTTTACCCGGTTCACGGCCGCGTCCGCGGTTTCGGGGCTGAGTGCCAAATCCTTGCGCCATGATAGAGATCGCTGCTGTGGTCATCAACCTCTTCTTGCTAGCCCCTGGCACGCGAAACTTTGGGCACGATCCTGTGCAACCCCGCGTGACGTCTCACGGCTTTCTCGCAGGTTGCCGTGATGTGGGGTACGCAAAACAGGTTCTTGTAGATCCCCAAGGACCTTAGTCTTCCGTTTTAAAGTTATCCTCTGCTCCCTAACTTTCAGGATAGTCGCGGCTATTCTCCTCTTTCCAGTCATCATGGCGACTTTGGTTTTCCTGAGGACCAGTGTCAGCCCTCCACTCCCCATTTGTTTAAATGTTTAATCTTCTTCCTTGTCACGGTCGCAAATCCCACCAGTTCTACCCCATTCGCGGTTGGAATCTTCATAACGCCATTGTACATCGCGACCAACAGAAGGCACCCAATGTCAGATCACCAGATAATCCGGCAGTTTTAAGTTCAAGCAGCGCATTTACAATGGTTCTTGTGTTCTCTGAGTGAAAGGCATTTTTCACGCCCATTGACGCTAGTAGGCAGACTTCTCTGGCCCTCCTGGTACCTTTATTAGCCATCTCCACCCTCTCGACATTTTATCTAAAAGACTCACCCGTCGATTTCCCTCTCCTGAATCCGAATTACTCGGGGAACATCAGCTTATTGCATACTATGTCTTCGGTCCTTGCCTTCACTATCTTTGCCAGAACTTTACCTGCACAGTCCAGGTATCAAATCGGGCGGTAGCTGGGAATCAGCGCTAATAGGCTCTTTTTCCACCTATCCGAGTAGACTCCCGTCCTCATAATTTCTTTAGCGATGTTGGTCCATATACCTGCACCGGTATTCTGTATGGTCTAGGGGCCATGTCATTCGGTAGCGGGTCTGCAGATGCCTTGACCTCGTCGGTAACTGTGACGACTTCCTCCATCATTGCCACTTCCTTGATCAGCAAGGGCTAGACAGGGAAAGGGTCGTTAAGAAGGTCGCGTTGTTCCATCCCACCACTGTGGTCTTGCAGAGTTTCTTCCATCACGTCCAGTTGTTAACTTAAATAATTTCCTGTAGCGTTTTCCTTTCACTCTAAAGAGTGGCCACTCACTATCGATTGAGGACCTGCCTCTATGTTGAAGCGCCCTGCTGGCCTGGTTGCAACGACCTCTCTGCGCACCAATAGCATACGTCCACCAGTAAGGTCTACGTACTCTGTGGCGTGGTCTCGTCGCACAGCTTTGTGAGGAGGCGCGCCCCATTCTTGTAGGTGTTCCCTTGTCTCAACCTTCTCCGCTAGATCCACTAGGCCGAGCTTGCGGGTGTTCCATATTTTGTGACATAAGGTCCCCCCGCGCAGGTTTTAGTGAGGTACCGAAGCACCTCCGTCTCCAAGTTTCTCAGCCACCAGCGTAACATCAATAAAAAGCCTCGAACGTTAGTCTAGGTCCTGTGTTCGAGCATCACCATATGGAGCGCCTCAGCCCACTCGAGCACAAGTTCCTCCCTTCTGTTGGGCTTCGGTGCCCTCTCAAGCTGGGAACGCCGCAATAACGTCTCCCGCCATTATAGCTCAACTCCCTCCATTCATCCCAATTCATCCTTATGACCGCCGGAATTTCGAGACAGGCCATCATCTATGGGGCATATCCAATCTTATTAAATACGAGGCGTTTCTTATCATTGGGGCATTTATCTTTGAAGTGACCCTCCTTCCCACAGCTTAAGTACTTGTTCTTGATATCGTGACATTTTTGGGTCGATTCCCCAACACATTTGGCAATTATTTGCTTCTAGTTTTTTCCGTATTGAGCATTTTGTGATCCTAACCCACAAGCCGTTATGTTGTCCATTTTCTTTTGTGCACCCTTCGGAAGAAGTAGTGTGACATCTCTTTGTCCACCCTCGGCAGTTCTTATGTTTGTGATTTCCAGCTGTTCCTCCCTTTCTTCCCCTAATACCGCCGCCCTATTCTTTGGTGGATATTTCGTCTAGATCCGTTATAAAATATGCCACTATATTTTCCTCCTTAACTCAACGGTGGGCCCCCTGTTTTTTTTTTTACTGACGACTAGCTTAAGGTGCCCATCCTTTGTCTTGTAGCTGTTAACAACTCCTGCTTTTTTAGCACCCTTCAGGAGCCCAGCATATGTTTTAGACCCATTTTAACGAGTATCGCAATCGAATAGGAGGGCTCTTCTCATTATTATCCCCTATTCGTCTCTCCATGCTATAAATAATTAATGCATATGAATTCCGCAAATCTTTTGTGCCTCCCTGGTCTGAGTGTTTGCTTGATAGCCAATATTTTATTTGCAGCCTTCGTTGTGGCCTCGTACACGCTTCTGGCGACCTCTTTATCATTGTTGCCGTCCAGGGCTGTCGGGAAGAGACGAGGGAAGAGATATCCATCCTTCCCATCTTTTCATCGTCTTCTCCTTTCAGTATCGCCACCGGATTTCCAAAAGTGGTGATGCCACATTTAAAAATTGATCCTTAACAGTTCCTTTACATCTAAACATGTAAAGGCCGCCCGGAACACATTCAAAATATACGCTATATAATGTGAGCAGTATCAAGCCTTAGAAGCCTTAGAAAAATTCTTGGACCTTTTTCCGACACTCTTCATTTCCCCTTTGTGAGTAGTTTTCTGCGACACACCGTTTTCGAGTTATGCGTTACCAATTCCTATATTTCATCCGCATGCCCTAATCGCTATTTGTGAGCACTCTCCTCCAACACTTTGCCCATTGAGATATGAAGAATTATAACCGATAACGATAAGGGTTCGAGAAGCAGGATTATGGGTGGTAGAAATTTCGTTGAGCCCATTTATTAGAGTACCATAACGGCTTTCTTTAAAAGAATAGTAATTTTACACCCCAATTGAAAAATTGTTTGCTAATGGGTTCTTTTTTTTTCAGAGGAGCTCTCAAATTGAACCACGCTCAATTCTACTAAAAATGTGATTTGGGACCCGTCCAAAACCACTCAAGAATAATTTAGTATGAAACTTCAAATATGTAAGGAAACTGACGACAGCAACAAACTTTTGAACATGGCAAATGACGATTACGCGGTACTGAGGAGGTACAGCAAAGACCATTCCATTTATGAAGATATAGCCCTGGACGTTACAATCTCGAGCACCGAAATGCCGCCTAGTTGCAAGGCGAACACTAAACGAGAGTTACCCGAGATCGACTTTGAAGATGAAACCGAAGCGCCCACTGAAGTTGCCCAGGAGGTATCCATCGAACCTTGCTCGCAGATTTTGACATATGAAATAGACACATCGCAGATAATTAACGTGCCAGAAGATCAAATAATTAAGATAGAGTACCAAATAGCAAACGGTGTTATAAACACGGAGTACATCGTCAACCAAAACATTTTAAGTAACTCGGGCGAAATTCAAAGTGTAGACATGAGGTGCGTGGACACGAACGTATGGAAGAAGAGCAACAATTCAACTTCCTCCGACGAGCCTCAAATATCAAACAGCGTCCTAGTCCTATCTCCGAACTCAGTCAGTCTACCTGAAACAACAATCGAAGCGAGTAACGAAATTTTTGGGATACCACAAAATGAAATTGAAGTCGGAACCGTCTGTACCACCGAAGTAGAAATCACCGACCAAAACTCGTCTGACACGCTCTTGGAAAACGGAACCTCCGACAATATGGAATTTGCGTTGAGCCCACGCAGCGATAGCGACAACTCGGAGACGGATTTAACAAGTCTCAATTGGTTACATAGCATTACAAATATAATGGCGGTCCCGAATTTACCTACCCCACCTATTTCTCCGAAACCCAGACGGAAACCTCCGACAAACAGCGCGCAGCAAGAGGATCTGACGATTAACATTAACTTTTACAAGAAGAACGGCGATAAGAAGCCCCCATTCTCCTACGCGACACTAATTTGTATGGCAATGGGGAAGAACGGGAATAAAATGACCTTGTCCGAGATCTACCAGTGGATTAGAGAGAATTTTTTGTATTACAAAAAAGCGGAACCAAGCTGGCAGGTTAGTTGCCGATGGGCCGTTTTGTCTTTTAACCACCTTGTTTTCAGAATTCAATTCGCCACAACCTTTCCCTGAACAAGTGCTTTGTAAAAGTGGCAAGATCCAAGGACGAGCCTGGCAAGGGAGGCTTCTGGAAGCTTGATCTGGAAAGGCTGGAAGAATCGAGAAGATCAAAGCGCCGATCCAGTCTAACTGTGCGCGCCCCACGCCCTACCGTCGTCAAACCGACACGAAAAGTGAAAAGGCACCGACCGTCGCAAAGGACCGGGGAAAGGAAGCATAACATATTATCGAACATATCGATCTGCAACGAAACCGAGCAAGATAGCGAGAGCTGTGACAGTGCCCAGAGCGTAAAAACCGACAGCAATGCGAAAATTACCGATGGAGAGGCGGAAGAGGCTGCCCTCTCTCCGAAACCTGCGACGCCTTCGCCAAACTGCATCGTGGAACCGGTAAACCAAATGATACCAGAAGACGAACTGACCGGTCTACTTCTCGCCACAAACGGCTGGGACGATTGTCAACTGGAACTTCTCGACTCACTACTGGATTCGTTATAATTGTACTGGAGATGAACAAGACTATGCCAAAACATATTTTTGATAAGTACCTAGAATTTTTGTGCAAACTTATTTCGTATTATTTAGCGCAATTGTACAATGTAACATTTTATATGTCTACTGATATTGGGGCGATATCGTGATATCAGTCACACAGAGTGGTTTGTGCCTTTTGTGTCTTAGCACAGTGTGCCCTTTGCTATACTCTAAGTCTCGTTAGAAGTTATTGTAGATTTGGAAAGCTCGTAATTCTTCCGTCCATTTACTGAGATAGAAATTTATCGTATAATTAAGACAAATGTTGAATGTAATGGCTGCTCAAAAATGAAAGAAAAACCTTATGCTCATTAGTTTTGCTCAAGCAGAGGCAATTTTGTTGTTTCAAGATCTGTTTTGAAAATACCGCAGCTCAGTGTAGATAGGTATAGATGTTGAAGGAAGTAAGGAGTGGTGCATGCTACTCCGTTGAAGTATTATTAATAATTTTTATAGAATTGTAAAGTTTGTATTCTAGTCATCTTCTTAAAACACATTTTGCTCAAAGGAGTTCGTAAGCAATAGATTGTTGTGTTTTGAACGATACTTTCTGATTCTTTATGCTTTCAAAATGTTTTAATAAAGTCTGTAATTATTAATAATTTTTATAGAATTGTAAAGTTTGTATTCTAGTCATCTTCTTAAAACACATTTTGCTCAAAGGAGTTCGTAAGCAATAGATTGTTGTGTTTTGAACGATACTTTCTGATTCTTTATGCTTTCAAAATGTTTTAATAAAGTCTGTAACTTACGTATCAATTTTTAACATTTCCATTCCATTCCTTTGTCTTCCATATTATTTACCATTTCTGGAGTTAGTCTATCGTGCCTGTTCTCCATTCTTTACACTATATAACTCCTTACCTTTATTGGGCCTATCTCTCTGTCTAAGTAATTGTTGGGTATTTTTTTTCACAAGCTGCCTCGTATTCTTCTTTATTGTTCAATTTCCCATCTCTTCATTATTCTAAGCTAGATGGTAAATTAATGGCACAGGTAATAAATGAAACAATTACAGAAGATATTATAACAGGTGGCGATTTTAATTGTCGTATAGGTGTAATGAGTAATTTCAGTGATACGGATAATGATATTTATTGGGGCGAATTAGAAAACGAAAGAAAGTCAATGGATCTTTTTGTTAACCAAAAAGGAAGGTTTTTAATTGAAATTATGGAGGATCTTGGCTTTATAGTCTTTTTCAGACAGTACCGGAAATCTTACCTATATGAGCAGTTCTGGAGGAAGTGTAATTGATTTAGTATGGGTAAACACAAATACCATTTCATTAATCAGAGATTTTAGGATTCATGAAAACGAATTACATTCCGACCACTTTCCATGTTCCTTGTCACTCATTTTGAATTCTGTTGCAGATAAATCTGGTCACCATCTCACCAATAACATAATAATACCCCGAAAAGAAAATTACCTAAGGTGGAATGACAATAAACGCAACGCATATTTAAATATATCTTCTTTATCATATAGAATTTCTTCCTTGCAAGACTCACAAGACGTTAATAAATTAAGTCAAAATCTAAATTTAGCTATCAATGAAATAGGGAAATTACTGGGCCTACAACACTGCAGTCAAACTGCAACAAACCTTGGTTTGACACAGTGTGTCAAAATCAAAAAAACGAAGTTAGAATATCGTATAAATTAGCTAAAAGTCATAACTTTGGTCAAGTGTATCTGCAAAATCGTATAAAAGCAAAAAAACAATTTAAGGCAATTTGTAGAAGAAAGAAACACGATTTTAATCTCCTTTATAGGTCTCGTATTACAAATATTATGGATTGTAATACATTCTGGCAGACTTTTAAATGCAAAAAAAATAGAACAAAGATCACAAGTGCCCCAGTCATTGAAATACATAGGTGGGTGAATTTTTATAAGCCTTTTTATTCACTCTGATTTAAATTTTAATATGCACGATGTATTACACCCATTTTTAGCCAGACCGATAACTTCTTGGGAATTAAATAAAGCATTACAACATGCATCTACAGGTAAAGCGATGGGCTGGGACGGAATATCAAATGAATTTCTAAAAAATTTGAGCTTGAATTGGCATACCTACATTTTACGTCTTTTCAATAGGATTTTAGACTCAGAACAGATACCATATCAGTGGCCAAAAATTAAAATGATACACTTGCATAAAAAAGGTGACATATCAGTTACTGACAATTACAGAGGGATTGCGATAATGAATCACATAGCCAAAATATTTAACTACATTATTTATAATAGAATATCGAACTTTGTAGAAGAATCTCAAATATTACCAGAAAGTCAGTGTGGTTTTAGAAGAGGAAGGGACTGTCAAGACAATATTTTTGTACTGAATGCAATTATTTTTAATAATATTCGTTTAAAAAAGCAAAGGATGTACGCTCTATTTGTTGATTTTAAAAAGGCATTTGATTCAATTCAACACGATCTTTTATGGCAAAAACTTTCACAAACGGGAATAAGTGCTAAACTCATAAGATTAATAAAAGGTTTTTACTCTAAAGCGACATTGCAGATCGAGCAAGAGGGGCGTCTATCAGAGGTAATTAATATCACCAAAGGTGTGCTACAGGGTGATGTTCTAAGCCCCTTACTCTTTTCGTTGTTCACAGCAGACATGGAAGCGTTTTTTAAAAATTATGGAATAAGTGGAGCTCCTTTAGATGCCGTCACAGATATAAGATTTTTAATGTACGCAGATGATTTGGTCATATTTGCTAAGTCTGCGTCAAACATGAGAAAAGCGTTACGGGCACTAGAAAGTTACTGCTCCCTTAACAGCCTAACTGTTAATGTGGATAAAACAAAAATTATTGTATTTCGCAAAGGTAACCGTATTGCGGCGGACGACCCTTTTCTGTATAATAATGGCGCTATCGAAGTAGTAAACTCTCATTCTTACTTAGGGTTAACTTTTCACTTTAACGGAAGTTTCAAATGCACTGCCAAAGACAGAATACGCAAAGCAAAAATTAGCTCAGCCACTATTTTAAATGTAATAAACACGGCTAAAATGGACACTTGGGATTCTATCCTCAAGTTGTATCAAACAGTAGTAGTGCCCACTGTAGCGTATGGTTGTGGAGTCTGGGGCCCTCCGTTTACCAAGCTGATTGAGCAAGTTCAAGTAAATTTTTTTAAAAAGGTACTGTATTTACAAAACTCCACCCCAGGGTATGTTATAAGAATGGAATTGTTGCTTCCCAAACTGGAATATTACGTAATTAAATTCGCTTTACTACTGTTAATTAAATCAAAGGATCAGGTAAAGATCGGTATACTCACAAAGCTTTACGACGGTTAATATACCTTGATAGTTGTCACACTAATAATCCAGAAAGCAACTGGTACACACAAATAAAAAAATTCATAGAGAGCATTCGCGAAGATTACTTTAACCCAGAAGGGGTAGATAGCAGTTACATTTTAGACACCCTTGATAAATACACTAAAAAAAATGCCAACGATGATTGGGATAAAGTACTTTTGAGTGTATATTGTAACACGTATAAGTACACTCTGAAACAAAACCCTCTCACAAACACATCAGTCTCCATCATAAGATTGCCGATTCCCTTGAAATATAAAAGAACCTTAATGCAAATTAAAACTCACAATAAAGATATGGTAGTAATGTACGTCAATAAAATCAATTATAAAATAAAAATCACAGATATATGTACTATATGCAACACACATCAATGCGAAACTCTCCAACACCTCTTCTTTGAGTGCCCACTATACCAACCTCTCAGAAAAGAGCTCATTACTATTTTTCCAGAACGTGATATATTTACAACATTACAAAATTTAAACAGAAACAATTTTTTTACCGTGGTGGTTTTTCTAACGGAGGCTATGAAGTTGAGATCATTTCTGTTGAATGAGTGACATAATAACAATAATTACAAAAACAAATAAATTAAGAAAATGACAGTCATTTACTTTCTTTCGTATGGAGTACAGCCGAAGAATAGATATTGATTTTGCTATACTTTTTGTTTTTTATCTCGTGCTTTTCTTTTAAATTCGAATGTTATGTTAGATGGTTTTCTTTCTTTTTCTTTTTCTTGCTAGTGAAGATTAATTTAATTTGTTCATGATATACATGTCAAGGGAACAATAAAGATTATTATTATTATTATTATTATTAAGCTCGTTTGTAATTATTTGGCTGTCCTTTCCTTTGATGTGTTTTTAATGTATAGTTGTTAGGTTTCCTCAAGCTCTTAAGTACTTTATAAAAGAATTTCTGATTACTGTGTTTATTTTCTTCTGTTCTGGTTCCAAATGCTTTTCACGCCTTTTGTTTTGCTTCCATTACCATGAGTTTTACCTTCGCCAGTTGTTGTTTATATTCGGAATAGGTTTCTGCAGTTTTTCTAGTCAAATACTGTTTCCATTTTTCTTTCTTTTTCTGAACTTCTTCCTTAAGATTTTGGTTCCACTATCTTATTTGTTTTCTGTTTTTATTTACCAATATTGCGCTGTTGATAGTACTATTGCTTTAAATTTTTGCCACATTTGTTCAACAATCATCTTCTCCCATTCTTGCATGCTATTTCTTACCTTTAGCTCTATTTTTCCACCGTATACACTTGCGATTTGATTGTCTTGTTTGTATTTTGCACGTTCGTATTTTCGCTTCTACCAGATAATGATCACTGTAAATTTCTGGCCCTCTTCTAACTCTTATGTTTAATACGTCCCTTCCCATGACCTCTACTTATATTATTACGTAATATATGAAGGATTTTTCACCTCTACTCTGCACTATGCTCTTCAACGTGTGGATCGATAACATCTGGAATTCCTTCGGCCCTTCTTCCTACCCTACCCAGTGTTATAAGTCTCCCTTTCACGCTTTCGATTGCTCCTGACATTTTTTTCAAAGATTCGTCCTTTTTGACTTTACTTTGGTCCTCATTTAGTCCATAAGCTCTTAGAAATTGTAGTATTTTCTGTTTGCTCCATTTAATCAATCTTTCATTAATGCATTCCCACTTACTTAGCCTTCTCACATTTTCTGCCTCTATTAAACAAGCCACGCCGTTCTTTGCTTTCATTTTTAAATCAATCAAATCAAGTACATGCCCGTCTTCCATCTTCATTATCCCTCTACCTTTCTTCTTGGTTTCGCATATTCCAAGCATATCTAGTTTGGTGTCTTTAAATTCATGTACAAGCAAGTTTGTTTTCCTTTTCGTTAATGCTTCGTATGTTCCAAATTCCAATTTTCCATATTTCTAGATTGCAGTTTTTGATCTGTTTGTGTTATGCTTCTCATTTCCGTGTTTCGTAGCGAATGTCGCCTTTATTATTCTACAGGAATGTTTTCCGGCCAGTTTTTTTTACTAAATGTCCCATGCTCAGTGCCCTTTTTAAAGACCCCCCCCCTTGAGGAGATCGCTAGCTTATTGTTCTTCCTTTCTTTGTTGGGTTTGTCGGGTTTTGTGCCGTTTTAAGTATTTGGGTTTTGACGTTAAGGTTGTTTAACTTTATAAATAATTGTCTTATTTTATTGGGCT